AAAAGTGAAGGGACTGGAACTTCAGACAAACCCCAGTGCAAGCACAATCACAAAGATCCCTGCCAGTTCTCCCTAGAAATGTCGAGGTCAGGAAAACAGAAACCATCCTGGCCAAAAGGCACCCAAAAGATGAGGTGATGAACCCCACGCAGTGTCCCCCACGGGCTTCCGGGTGGAGCAGAAGACAGATGTTAGGGGAAACTAAGGAAGTCAAGTTGCGTGTGAATTGTGAGTGACAATAGCGGGTCCACGTTGGTTTATTGGATGTGACAGGTGACGCAGTTGTGAGACGGTCATCACGGGGGAGGCTGCTGGGAGTTTATGCCAATGCTCGCACTGGCTTCCCAACTTTTCTATCTAAAATTTAAAAATAAGGTTTAGGTTAAAAAAACACTTTTAAAAAACCGCTTGAGACTAGGCATGGTGGCACACGCCTGTAATCCCAGCACTTTGGGAGGCGGAGGTGGGCAGATCACTTGAGGTCAGAAGTTCGAGACCAGCCTGGCCAACATGGTGAAACCCTGCCTCTACTAAAAATACAAAAATTAGGTGGGCTTGGTGGCGGGCGCCTGTAATCCCAGCTACTTGGGAGGCTGAGGTGGGAGAATCACTCGAACCCAGAAGGTGGAGGTTGCAGTGAGCTGAGATCACGCCACTGTACTCCAGCCACGGTGACAGGGCAAGACTCCATCTAAAAAAAAAAAAGAAAGAAAGAAAGAAAGAGAAAAGATGTGCTCCTATAGGCACATTGCTGTGCCTTTGCCCATTCTGGGACTCCTGCCCGACCTTCTCTTGCCCTCTGTGACACCTGCCATGCTTCAAAGCCCTGCTCAAATGTCACTGCCTCCAGGAAGCCTTCCCTGACTGCCAAGCACAGTTAATATCCTCACTCGTACCCTTTTCCACCCAACGCCACTCCTGTTCTACACTATCAGTTGGATTTGTCTGATGTGTTTCTCATATTAGACTGGGGTTATGGGTTTGGGGGAGGAAGACCATGACAGCAAAGTGCACTCCTGCTCGCATCATAGCAAGGACACCTGCTATCAACAGGCTTTGTCATTGATGCTGTTGACCCTGGTCACCTGGCTGAGGGGTGTTGGTTGGGTTTCCCCATTTCCACACTATCCTCTGTGGAAGGAAACCACCATGTGCATCCCACACTAAAGGAGTAGGGGTCATGCTCTGCCCCGCAGCCTAAATTAGCTGGAATTCTTTTGGCCGGGGGGTCTGTCTGTCTCTTCTCCCCCATTTACCCAGCTAACCCATCACTTATTTGTACTGGTGTGGACTCATACATATTTGTTTTCTTTCTTTCTTTTTTCTTTTTTTTTTGGAGATGGAGTCTTGCTCTATCGCCAGGCTGGAGTGCAGTGGTGTGATCTCAGCTCACTGCAACCTCCGCCTTCTGGGTTCAAGAAATTCTCCTCTGTCAGCTGCCCGAGTAGCTAGGATCACAAGCGTGCACCACCGCGCCCATCTAATTTTTGTATTTTTAGTAGAGACAGGGTTTCACCATATTGGCCAGGCTGGTCTTGAACTCCTGACCTCATGATCCACCCGTCTTGGCCTCCCAAAGTGCTGGAATTATAGGTACGAGCCACTGTATCTGGCCTACATATTTGTTTTCTATTTGGGGTTGACATTGCTACTGCTTTACCTGTGTTTCATTGTTCACATTGTCCCAGCTTTGGCCATTGGGAGCTCTTTCAGTTGACTCCTGTGCCCCTTTGTCACAGTTCCATCATTTCGGGGATCTGTTGATCCATTTATCTATTGGCCGGTCAATGGATCACTTCCTTACTTCTTGATGCTACAAGACACTCCAGGCCCACTGTGTTTATTTCCTGCCAGGGAATGTATTTCACAAATATTTCATGTGCGGAGGCTGGTACAGAGCCCCTCCTCCAGGCAGCCTCCCCAGCTGTCTACAGGCAGGACTGGGGCTGTGTCCTGACCCCTCCGCAATGGCCGCTCCGGCCGAGCTGTCCCATCTGGCTCCATGGCTGTCTCCACCACGAGGCTGAGTCTGGGCTCTCTAGAGGGCGGTGGGCATCTGACTCATCCATGTCGGATGCCGAGCATGGGGCCAGGCCCAGCGTCCGGCAGGCAGGTTGGATCTGGGCCACGCTGCCTGCTGATCCTCCCCACTGAACAATAATGACGATGACTGCTCTCCTTTGTGGGACCTGCTCACCTCTGTGCTGGCAGGTGTTGGGCCTGGGCAGGACCATAAAGCAGCTGCTCCAGTGGCTTCGAACCCAGGCTTCAGAATCTGCTCTCCATCACTGGGTCGCACCCCAGGATGCGCTGTGTGGGCCAGTGGGGGAGTTTCCTGGTCCCCTCTGTGTGGTACCTGGACCACTACACTACCCTTGGTGCGCAGGGGAGGGCTATGCCAGGGTAGGGGTGAGGGATGTGTCCATCCTGCAGCAAGTGAGGGGAGACCCTGGGACCCACACCTGGCTGGGCACCAAAGTGGTGGGCCACGCACCTGTGACGCCGCCTGGGCGACACCCCAGCTGGTTAGCAGGCATGTGTGGTAGCAGCTACGGATGTTGGCCCAACAAGGGGCTGCTGCCTGGAGCCTGCACTGGGTACCTGTCATAAGGCAGCCACCCCCCCGCCCCCCGTCTTTCCAGTGTACCGGGGGAAGGTGCAGCCAGTGCTGTGGCCAGATCCTGCTGGGCACTGCTCACAGGCACACATGGCTCGACACATGAGGCGGGAGAGCTCAAGCCCCACCTAGGGCAAGCCCGTGCCCACTGCAAGCCAGTGGTTCCCTCCCACCCAGCTGCCCACACAGCTTTGCCTCAGCAGAAGTGCACTTGACTGGGCTCTGTCCCCTTCTGCATGTCTGGCAGAGGCCAACCCCGCTCAGAATACATGGGGCTGTTGGCTCCCACCTGACTTGGGCAGCCCAGCCCCTATCACCGCGTCTTGGTTTGTTAGTCATTCAGCAAACGCTTGCAGAGTGTGGCACTGTGCTGGGCACGGGGCCCACAGAGAGCAAGACCCGCCAGTGCCCTCGCTGGAGGAGCCCGTAGTGCAGGGGACCTGCCTAGGAAGACAGTGGTGGTGACAGACAATGGCCCCAGTCCCAGGAGGGGCAGAGCATGCTGAGGCTCTCCAGGGCGCAGGGCAAGGGCTGACCAGGCTGGCAGCCAGACTAGGCCTCTTCGAGGAGGCAATACACCGCAGTCACAGCCTGGAGGAGAAGGGTTGCCAGAAAGGGGTGGTGTGCAGAGACCAGGGCAGGAGTCAGGGGTATGGGACAGCACAGGGTGGCCAGGGCCCTGCTGGGGGTGGGGGAGGGGAGAGCAGGGGGAAGGGAGAGCAGGGTGAGGTTGGCAACGGTGGCTTGGATGTAACCAGGTGGGGAAAGAGAGGGGCCACGTGCCAAGTGCCCTATGGGGCCATCTGCTAAGATTCAGGGCAGGGGAGGGGCAGTAGGTGGCCAGTTCTGGCTGGGTGCTGTCTGGGCTGGCTACTGGCCATCAGAGAGGCAGACGGTGGCACTGGCACAGGCTGTCATTCTGAGCCGGAGCCTGGGGAACTCAGTGAAAGCAGGTGGCTCTGAAGTTCCCGCTGGTGTGAGCTCTCCTCAGACTGTGGCCCTTAGAGAAGGTGTGAGCATGAGGGAGGAGGAGGCTGGGAGGCAGGAGAAGGTATCCAAAGGGTGTGGTCAGCGGGTGGACCAGTTGGCCAGAGAGACAAGGAAGAGGGAGCTGGGAAAGGACTGCTGGGCTTGGCCACGTGGAAAACGCCGGTGACCTATGCCTGGATAGTTTTGGGGAGCATGGGGTGGGTGCGTTGATGTGAAGCCAGGAAGTAGGGCGTGGAAAACAGCACTTGAGGTTTTGCTGGCAGGCGGCAGCACTGGCCACAGGTGTCTGCAATCACCAGCGTGCCCCCCGTGACATCTGGCCCCGTCCAGGTGGGTAGCGGGGGGCCTGCAGGAATCCCCCTTGGAGCCCTCCTCCCCTCCGCCTGCGGTGACCTCAGCCTCGGAGCCCGAGCTCCCAGGAGATGGCTCCCAGCTGGAGGACTTCACTCCCTAGGAGGAGTTGGGGGAGTGTGTGCTTGGGCAGGGTTAATGATTATGTAAGCCAAGGTCAGGGTCAGCCCCCAGGACTGGGCTCTGCAGAATGCCAAAATTCTGGCTGCAGTCCCACCCCTGATTCAGGAAAGTTGGGGATCTGAGGAGTTCGGGCTTATGGGATTGAGAGTCCTGGGGGACTCATCTGTAAGCTGGGATCTGATGTCCCCAGGCTGTTGGGAGAATAGCAGCCTTGTAGCGCCTGCCATGTGCCCTCATCTGGGGCCTTCTCCTCTGTGCACTCTCTCTTGGTCACCCACACCCCACCAGCTGGCTGGTCCACAGGGTGTTTTTGGGGTTTGGCCTCTTCTGGCTCTGTGATCTTTTTTTGGAGACAGGGCCCGGCTCTGTCGCCCAGGCTGGAGGGCAGCAGTGCGGCCAGGCTGGAGGGCAGCAGTGCAGTCAGGCTGGAGGGCGGCAGTGCGGTCAGGCTGGAGGGCGGCAGTGCGGTCAGGCTGGAGGGCGGCAGTGCGGCCAGGCTGGAGTACAATAGTTTGATCAGGCTGGAGTGCAGTAGTGCGGTCATTGCTCACTGCAGTCTCCAACTCCTGGGCTCAAGCAATGCTCCCACCGCAGCCTCCCGAGCAGGTGGGACTACAGGCGTGCACCACCATGCCCAGCTAATTTTTTGTAATTTTTGTAGAGATGGGTTTCACCATGTTAACTAGGCTGGTCTTGAACTCCTGGACTCAAGCGATCCTCCTGCCTCAGCCTCCTAAAGTGCTAGGATTACAGGCATGATCCACTGCACCCAGCCCTGGCTCTGTGATTTTACCCTCTCTGCACCTCTGTTCCTCGTGGTTATAAAGGTGGAGATGCCGAGGACTGGCGGAAGCTGCAGGGCTGCCGTGGGGGCTCCTATGTAGGTAGTGAGGGCTCTCTGGTCAGCTTCCTCCAAGGAAGGAAGGTCCCTCTTCCGAAATCTCCGCTGGGGAAACAGCTCGCTTCCCTCACCACCCCCAGATGAGGAGCACTGTGCTAAGGAGTCTCAGGCACCTGGTCAGCGGGAGAAGGAAGGACTGTGGACCTGCTGGGCCGCAGAGTCAGCGATTCCCTGGGCTCCAGGCTGACGCCTGCCCCGACAGAGCAGGACATTCCAGCCAGTTTGGGGGTGGATGTCTTCAGTTCCAGCCCAGGCACGAGAACTGCTGACCACTTCCTGCAGGCCTCCGACCCGGCGGCCCAGCCACCCATCCGGCCGGGGTGGCCATCAGTCATCTGGAAAGCCTATGAGCCCTGTGTCCTTGTTTTGCAAAGAGCAGTTCCTGAAATCACGGGGCTTTGAGCTCTGCTCTTCTGATCGGGGGCCGGTTTCAGCAGCAAAGGCCAGAAATAACACACAGTGTGAGTGCTGCTGCGTGGAGCATCATCCTAGCCCTTTCCGGGGGATGACTCACATGCTCCCATTCCAGCACCAGCTGGTACGGGGCTCCAGACTAGCGGCTTATCATGCCGGCCCGGATACACCCGTCTTCAAACTTGGGTGTGCAGAGGAATTAACTCAGGAAGGAACCTCGGGAGAGATTTGTGCTGGTCCTTCCCCGCTGTTCTCGAGTCTGAGTAGGGCTTGGGAATGCCTTGGGAGGTGTGCGGGGACAACTTTGCTTGTTTGTGTTTCCGGGAAATACTGCGTTTAGCAGAGACAGCATTTTATACAGGAGGAATCGGAGACTGGGAAAGATGGCAGGGCTGCTCAGCGTGGAGCTGGGATCTGGCCGGGCTGTGTTCTCCAGGGGCAGGGGCCGATCTCGGAGTTACATTTACTTATATAATTATTTATTCATTTATTCATTCTTTTTCGAGACGGAGTCTTGCTCTGTCACCCAGGCTGGAGTGCAATGGCAGGATCTCGGCTCACTGCCACCTCTACCTCCCAGGTTCAAGTGATTCTCTCACCTCTGCCTCCCAAGTAGCTGGAATTATAGGCAACTGCCACTACACTCGGCTAACTTTTGTATCTTTTTTTTTTTTTTTTTTTAGTAGAGACAGGGTTTCACCATGTTGACCAGGCTGGTCTTGAACTCCTGACCTCAAGTGATCTGAACTCGGCTTCCCAAAGTGCTGGGATTACAGCGGTGAACCACGGTGTCCGGCACTCAGTCACATCTAAAAATGAAAGGGCCATGGAATCACCAGAACTCTCCTTCCTGTGACCTTAGGTGAAGGTCATTTCTGCCTTGCCCCTCAATCTCCCCATTTATAAGCCTGAAGGTTGTAAATTACAATCTTTTTATCCAACCACTTGTCTTTATTTTATTTTTGAGACGGAGTCTCGCTCTGTTGCCCAGGCTGGAGTGCAGTGGCGTGATCTCGGCTCACTGCAACCTCTGCCTACAGGGTTCAAGTGATTCTCCTGCCTCAGCCTCCTGAGTAGCTGGGATTATAGGCATGCGCCACTATGCCCAGCTAATTTTTGTATTTTTAGTAGAGACGGGGTTTCAGCATGTTGGTCAGGCTGGTCTGGAACTCCTGACCTCACGATCCGCCCGCCTCGGTCTCCCTAAGTGCTGGGATTATAGGCGTGAGCCACGGTGCCTGGCCCACTTGTCTTTATTTGTTGCCTTCTCTTCCGTTTAGGTTCGTGTCGCCACCTGGTGATTGACTTCTCTGTGTGCACATTTGCACCATTGCAGGCATGACCAGGGTGGAGCAGCAAAGCGGGGCCCATGTACCATGTTTCAAGCCTGTTTCACAGCAGAAGACGGCCTCAGCTTACAAACCACACTCATGACCAAATCTGTTGCCCCGTCTTGTATTATACTATTATAGAGAGTTTTCTTGGCACGTGGCCACACCCATTCACTTACTGCTGTCGGTTTTCCTGCTGTAAGGGCAAGGTTGTGACGGACCTGATGACTGGCAAAGCTAAACATGCTCCCTCCGGCCCTACCCAGAGCACGTTTGCTTCCCCTGTTCTAGAATGACCTTGGAGGCTCCTGCGCGCCTGTTTCTGCTGGACAGGACCAATGGGAGAACCAGCACTGAAGTGGGGAGAGTGCGGGTAGCCTCTAGCCCCCGGCCTCTGCATTCCTGAGAGTCACTTTTATGGCGTTGTAGATTAACCCCTTGGGGTGCAAGCATGCTGGCCTCTCCTTGGCTGCCAGTGTCCATAGTCCCCTGAAGTGGCTGTGGGAGATTTTAGCATACAGCCTGCCAGGATCACAGTTGTTTGAGCTGGCCCTGAACCCTGAGAAGCCCTTTACTCCCCTGCTTTGCCTGGTTCCTCTCCCTCCAAGTCTCAGCACAGGTGCCTCCTCTTTCAGGAAGCCTTCCTAGATTTCACCCTGCTCTCTTTCCTCCCAGGCCTCCCTTTGCTGCTGCACCGATCGTGCTTTGCCATCCTGGTCTGTTTCCCAGTCAGTTACCCACCCCTTGTCTGTGAACTCCTCCTGTGAGCAGCCAAACCATGGGACAGGTGGGGTCCCAGAAGGCAGAGCTGGGATGGGAGTGCTGCCAACGTCAGTGGCAGGTGGGGCTCCAAGCTGCAAAAAGCAGCATTAATTGGAGGTGGAGAGTGGGAATGACCCTCAGAGGTGCAGTTTCCTGGGAGGGATGTAGTCCCGGGGACCCCTGCTCATGTGGGGGCAGGTCCGGAATCACCTTCTGAGCCCGAGATGATTCACTGCCCAGAACTGAAAATGCTCTGAGACAGTGCGATGAAGCCAGAAACCACCTGTGCCTTCCTATGACTACAGCTGTCATCATTTGCTGCAGGAGGCGAAAAACACAAAGACAAAAGAGGTAGAAGGCAGGGCCTCTGCTCCCCAGCCAGCCACCCCGCTTCCCCCCAACTTGAGTTGCACCCTGGGGCTCGGACCTCAGGGAGCCTGGTCAGCAGGCAGGGGCTGGCAGGAGCTGTCCTGGGAGCTTCTGAGATGGATAATTAAAGGTGGGGAGGGCTAAAAGACCACAGCTGAAGGGCGTGGCTGGGGGGGGCTTATACCGCTCTGTCACAGGTGGGTCAGATTTGGGCTTTCCTGAAGGAAGGACGCAGGAACAGGTCTGGTCGCTTCTTTGAGCAACCCAGGACAGTCACAGAAGTCTGAAGGCGCACTCGCTTTTCCCAGGCGGTGGTGGCCATGCCTGCTGCTTCTACGTTGGCTAGAGATTGCGTCCCCGGCACCTCGTCTGCCCAGACTCCGGAGCAGCCAAACCCCGGGATGGGAAGCACTTGCTGAAAACAAGTTTGTTCCGCCCTCAGGGAAAGCCTCTGGCCAGGGTGGCTTGTTTTGTTTTCTCTCCAGACTCTAACATACCTGTCCAGCAGCTTCCCAGCCCAGAGCGGGCCAGAGACGGAAAACAGCCTGGTGTAAAAGGTGGGTGACGAGATGGAGAAACTCTAAGACTGTCCCCTCACCCTGGCAATGGGCCGCCTTGTCTTATAATTCAGTAAAACACCAGCTGGTCCCAGAGATCAGGAAAGGGAGAGAGGAGGGATGCTGCTTTCCAGAGCAGCATCTCAAAGATTAACACTGGGGCTTGGAGCTCGAAGGAGCGGGCGTTAGGTTCCCTGGAAAACCGCAGCCTCTTGGGCAGGACTTGCTTCCCGGGGTTTCTGGGAATTGAGGGCACCACTGCCTTTGTCTCCGGCTGCTCCACTCACACCTTAGAGAGCCCCAGAGGGCAGTCGAGGGAGGGGTGAGTGTCCTGCGCGTCCGTCCGTGTGAAGAGACCACCAACCAGGCTTTGTGTGAGCAACATGGCTGTTTATTTCCCCCGGGTGCAGGCGGGCTGAGTCCGAAAAAAGAGAGTCAGCGAGGGGAGATAAGGGTGGGGTCGTTTTATAGGATTTGGGTAGGTAAAGGAAAATTACAGTCAAAGGGGGGTTGTTCTCTGGCGGGCAGAAGTGGGGGTTATAAGGTGCTCAGTGGGGGAGCCTTTTGAGCCAGGCTGAGCCAGGAAAAGGAATTTCATAAGATAATGTCATCGCTTAAGGCAAGGACTGGCCATTTTCACGTCTTTTGTGGTGGAATGTCATCAGTTAAGGCGGGGCAGGGCATTTGCACTTCTTTTGTGATTCTTCAGTTACTTCAGGCCATCTGGGCGTATACGTGCAAGTCACAGGGGATGCTTGCACAGGGGATCCGATGGTTTGGCTTGGGCTCAGAGGCCTGACAGTGAGGATCACAGGTTTGGTGCTGGAAGGACTGGGATCCGGGCTGGTTCTGCTACATAGGAGCTGTGTGGCCCTGGGCAGGTCATGCCACCTCTGGCCCCTCTGTGAATTAGTTCAGTGGGCATCAGGAGACACTCACCAGCAGGCATCCGGAGACAGTCAAGCTGGTGGGGCCATCAGCAAGCCGCATGTGATGACAATCCTTACGAAGGGCTGAGCATCTTGTTGGCAAGTGACAATTGGAATTTATTACAACAACATCAGGGAGCAAAACTATGGAGCTGGAGGACACTTAGAAATCTCCAAGCCCAACTCTACCATTTGCAAGATGGGGAGACTGAGGCCCAGAGGAGAGACAGATTGTCCTAGGAGAATTGAAGCTTGAGTTGGAGTTCGGACGGCCCCTCTGGCAGCAGGGCTGTGTGCGCTCCTGCCCCAGGATCTGCAGCCTCTAGGTGGGCCTGCTTGGAAAGCCCCCAGCCCTGAAGGCTCAGGCTCCTTCCTCCAGGAGGCCGCTGGGTGTGCTGTGTGCAGTCAGGGTGCTCTGTGCAGTTGGGGAGGCTCTTGTAAAATTCCCCCGGCCTTGGGCCAGAAGTACAGCTGCAGAGACAAACAGGATACGGGGTCTCCAGCCACCACGGGGGACAATGGCCAGGAGAGGAAATGTCTCCAGACCCGTGTGTGGATGTGGAGCCCGTCTGGGGGCTTTTTTCAACGCAGCTTCCAGAAAAACAAACACAGGGGAAGCCAAGCGTCTCTGGCCAGGAGAGGACTGTTCTGCCCACTCTGGAGAAGGGGCAGAGGTGTGAGTAGGCTGGAGAACTGGGGGCACCTGCTTTGAGTCTCAGGTCACAGACAGGAAACTGAGGCCCGGAGGAGGAGGTGCCGCAGGCAGCAAGTTAACGCAGGTGGTCTTGGGCGCCTACTCTCCACTTCTCTCCACAGCCCCTTGGGGCCATCATCTGTGCAGGGGCACAGGCAGCCCCATCCGTGGTGGGGACAACGCGGCCAGGGCACTGGTAGGAGGCACTGACCTCCCAGGGATGTCGGTTCTTCCCCACCTGCCTGTCAAGCGCAGCTGCTCTGTGCTCCTCGCTGGGCCAAGGCCACGGAGAGAACTCGGCGTGTGCACAGAATCTCAGTGCAACTGAGCTGTGCACCTGTGCTCGGCTTGTTGGAAAAGTCCTCAAGTCTAATTTAATCTTTACGATGACTCAGGGCACAGCCACAGAATCTCACGTCCCCGCCTGCCTGACCCCCAGGGCTACTCAGAGGAAGTGACCACTCCGTGAGGTTGTGCGGACAGACGTGTTGGACCCGAGGCATGAATGTGACCCTCGGTGGAGAAGACGCGCTGAGCAGGGGAGGGAGCCACAGAGGCTATAGATGGCACTGGTGGAGGCGTAGGGAGAGGAAGGCCTGGGACGGGGTGGTGATGTTGAGTGCGTCTGTGGGCATCCACAGGTGCTGGGCACTGGGGCAGCAGATGCCTCAGGGGTGGCCGCTCACCCAGGAAAGCAGCTCAAATGGAGGAGAGGTGGGTGCCCAGAGTTGCACCCATTCCACAGGGAAGGTGCCAGGAGAATCCAGCTCCCAAAGTGCTCTGGGCTTCGGCAGCGGGACCTTTGTGAAGGATGGAAGCATTACCCAGTCCCCTGAGACAGGGGAGGCAGAGGGAGCTGGACAGAGGCTCCCAGCTGGCGGGGGCTGGGCAGGATGAAAGTTGAGCTTTGGTGGGAGAAGGAAGGTGGGAGATGGGGCCGGCAGGTGTCTGCAAGGAAGGGTGGGGTGCTGAGGGCTGGAGTCCAGGAGGGGCTTCAGGATGGGGTCCCCGGACCTTGTATCATCTATCCCCAAGGAGGGGGCCGGGAGGACACCAGGCTGGAGGGGCTGCAGGCTGCTGGGGTTGAGGGGCTGTGGTTGGGGGCCATTATTTCTAACCACTGTCCCAGGTCTGCATCACAGCTTATGTACCGAGCTGACCCCAAAAGGTACGTCCACCCTGAACCTGTGAACTTGACCTTATTTGGAAAAAGAGTCTTTGCAGATGTAATTTCCTGAAGGGTCTCTAGATGAGATCATCTTGGGTTATTCAAGTGGACCCCAAATCCAGTGACAGGGCGCTTAGGAGAGACTGAAGAGGAGACAGACACAGAGGAGGAGGCTGGGTGAAGACAAAGGCAGAGACTGGAGCAATGCAACCTCCAGCAGAACATACGTGGAACTCCAGAGGCTGGAGCAGGCAGGAAGAGGCCTCCCCTGGAGCTTCCAGAGGGACTGTGGCCCTTCCCACAGCTTGATTTTGGACTTTTGGCCTCCAGAGCTGTAAGAGATGACATTTCTGCTGTCTGGAGTCCCCAGTTTGTGGCACTTGGCTGTGGCAGCTCCACAAAACTGACAGTGACTGCCCCTGGATGACGCTGGAGACACCACCGTTTTCCTCCTCAGACGAGCCGGGGCTGGGGAGCCGCGTCCCCGCAGGGAAGAAGAGCTGGTCTGGGAGCTGCTGCCCCTCTGCCTGTGGGTCAGACTTTCAGACTGCTGCCACTGGGGACTCTCTGAAAGTGTCCTTTGGTGCCTCTGAACCTCCCCCCGCAACCCACCGTGTGCTCACCAAGCATGTTGGTGGCATGGAAGGTGGGGCCTGGCCAGACCGGCCGGGGAGCCTGGAGGCTGGGCCCCTAAGGGGCTTGGGCCTCACGTGGGCCCTCCCCGAGGTCTTTTCGTCTTTTCGGGGCAGCGAGGGGATGTGCATGGGCATCTGCAGCTGCATCCCCGCTCCCAGGCCCTGGCCTCAGTGAGGAGGAGGAAGGGTGTGACTTTAGGGCTGCCGTGCAGGATGCAGGGACTTGAGGCAAGCAGCAGCCCCTGGGCAGAGCCTGTGATTAGAGAAAGGTGAACAGGACGGGAGGGTGAGGATGAAGGACGCAGGTGTGGGCTGGGAGGGGCTTTGACCTGAGTAGCTCACCTGGGGTGGGAATTCTCAGCCTGGGGCGACTTCACCTCTAGGGGATCAACATCTGAGCTGTTTGGCTGTTATGATTAGAGGAGGGGGCTATTGGCATCCAGTGGGTGGAGGCCAGGGACCAGCTAAAACCCTCCAGTGCACAGGACAGCCCCCTGCCCTGGAACAAACAAGGACGCGACCCCAAATGTCAGTAGTGCCTGGGTTGAAAAGCCCAGCCCTAAAGCCCTCAGGACCAGTCAGAACTGGTTCTGGTCTTATCTTCTAGCTGGTCACCGGCCTTGGGCATGTCACATTACCCCCTGAGACTTAGTTTTCCTGTCTGTGAGATGGATACGTTACTATTTAACTTAGCGATTATTCTTGGTTTTATTAAACCAGGTGTGTGTAAAGCACCAACCTACCACAGCACAGGATGGAGGGATCCCTCCCATTCCCATTTCCTAGAGCTGGGCCGGAGCCAGCAGCCCACATCCACCACGTGGGTGCTCATACTCCTGCGTTGGCAAGGGCATCAGAGTAGGCAGACAGGCGGGGCCAACAGAATTCAGTTCTGCCTCTTGTCTGAGCTGACGTGAGCCCAGGCCAGGCTTCCTCAGCGGGCAGGGGTGAGATTCCGTGCTTTGGCCTTGGGTCTGCCTGGCCAGGGAGGTTTCTGCTCTCAAACCTGGGTCAGGCCTGGAGCCAGTGGGGGGAGGTAAAGAGGTAGGCCCGTTGGGACAGGCCAGGTTTACAAGGAGAGCTGGCGGTGAGGTGGAGGGGGGCCCATCTCTTCCCCTAAGTGTTCCCATTGATGGAGCCAGTGGCCCGGGCAGCACCCGGGCGGAGACGGAAGGAACTGCATGTGAGCGTGTGTGTGCATACGTGTGCCTGTCTGTGTGCACACACTTGTGCTTGTGAGTCTGTGTGCCCATACACGTGTGTGTCTGCATGCACATGCGTGTGTGTGTGTGCATGCATGTATGTGTGCAGGCATGCGTATGTGTGTGTGTGCAGTAAGTGGAAGAGGAACAGAGAGCAGAGCTGAGGCTGGCAGGGCTGGAGGGCCAGAGGCTGGTGGACTTCCCCAATCCCAGCCTAGGCGGGGAACTGGGTGCCCCAGCCTCTACTACAGAACCTGGGGGCTGGGCAGCAGGCAGGCAGGACAGGGCCTGGAGCCGGTCCAGGAAAGAGCTAATGATCAACCGACTGCGGTGTCTGTGCAGCCGCGCTGGGCCTGCCTCTCCGTCACTGGCCCTCAGGCGCAGGGAGGAAGTAGGGCAGGAAGCAGGGGGCGGAGGCCGCTGTGCAGTCAGCCCGGCTGTGGGCGGCTCCTGCCTGCTCCGTCCAGCTGGAGACAGCCCTGTGGGGCCAACCAGCGCTGGGCCAGGAGCGGCCACCTGGTGCCTGTGTGCTACGGTCCTGTGGGCCTGGGAGCTGCCCCCGAGGAGCACGCCTCAGGTACGGGGGACTCCGGGGCAGGTGGGGTGCGGACTGGCCGAGCAGGCTGCTGTCTGTGGGTCTTGCCGCGGTTGGATCTTTACACTTTCTTGAGGACTTTTCCGAGCTGTTTCGGATGGGGGTGGAGCGAAACTGCGAGCTGGGGGCCTCGGGGAGGTCGGCGGCACCCTCAGCAGACCCCACTCAGAGCTCACAGGTGCTGGCAGTGCCAATCCGCAGTGATTACGGGCAATGATTTCAGCTTTGACAAAGCACCCTTGCTTCTGGGACCTGGCCTGACCCCATGCTGACCCTCGGCGTGAGCAGCCCTGGGGGTCTGGGAGCAGAGCCAGTCTTTCGCTGGATTCCAAATCCAGCGGGTCTTAGGTGTGACCCCAGCCCCCGGTTAGCTTGGGCCACACTTCCAGACCCACCAGGGCGAGCCCAGCGCCTCTAAGCCTCACCCGGCACCACGGTGGCTGTAACCAGCCACTCTGACACTGCCACCTTGGTCTCTTTTCCAACAACCAAATGGACCAGCCACTGGACCAGGGGCTCCAGCCTGAAAATTCCAGGGAGGGCCTGGGCTCAGCCTTCAATCGCAGGTGTGCCGGGGCGTGTGGTCCCATGTGTGTACACCACTGAGACCCCCTGTGGGCCTGTGCGTGATTCCCCAGGAGCCCCGGGAGCCCTGCCCTGTCTGCGAAGCGGGAGTTTCCGACCTTTTGCCGTTGACGAGGCTCAAATGAGATGAATAGCAAAGTGACACAGCGGGGAGTTAGCGGCGTCAGCCAGTGCCAGGGCCAGGGGCAGCCTACATGTGGGCCGGCCACTCAGGGTGTGGCCTCCCAGTGCCAGGCGGCGGGGCTGCAGCTGAGCTTGTGGCTGGAGGCAAGGCTGGGCCCAAGTCAGGGTTAGGTTTAGGATAGGTATGCGGGGGCTGGGCTCAGACCGCCTGGGTTCAACCCCACCTGTGCTGCTTGGCTGTGTGACGTTGGGCAGGCAGAGTCACCGCAGCTGATGGCTCATTTGTGAAAGGGGCACGGTGGTGCCTCCCTCCTCCAGGTGAGCCAAGGATGCTGTGAGCACCCCGGACGGCCATAATTATGTGACCGTCAACACCGTTGTGACAGCGATGACAACTGTGTCCCGTGTCGGGCGCTGGGCCAGTGTTTTATGCGTGGAGACATCACTCACTCTTCCAGCAACACGAGTGAGGATGACTGCACAACACAGAAGAGGAAGGCAGGGCCCAGGAGTGCACGGGTGCGCTGGTTTCCCGTGCTGCCAGAGTGCATGACAGAGCCCTCTTGGTCATGTTCTCTCGCGGCTCTGGAGGTCGGAATTCCGAACTCAAGGTGTCCCTCAAAGGCTCCTGGGGCAGCTCCTCCCTGCCTCTTCCCACTCCTTGTGGCTCCAGGCGCTCCTTGGCTGTGATTGCATCAGTCCACTCTCCACCCTGGTGGTCACGTGGCCTCCTCTCCGGTTCCTCTGTGTGCCTCCGTGTCTTCTCTTTTACTCACAAGGACACCAGGCACTGGATTTAGGGCCATCCTCATCTGGAACACCTTCATTTTAAATGAAGGCCACTTCATCTGCACAGACCATTTCCAAATTAGGCCCCATTATGAGGTTCCTGTGGGCATGAATTTTGAAAGGACGGTGTCACCCCAGGATGCGAGGTGACAAGTCAACACTCCAGAGGTGCTTGGTGGCATAGGTGAGGTCTCGATGGCCCTAGAAGTATTTGTTCAGTAACAGCCTGGCGAAAGCTTGGCCAAAGCTTCCCAAACCCGTTCAGGGCTGGCCCGGGCCCTCTCCCTCCTTCTTCCAACCCACACTCACCAAACTCTGACTGTGGACCAGGAGCACTGTCCCTTTAACCCACTCGACCCACTTGTGCGGTGTGCGTGCTCATTCTCATTTTCTGGCTCAGTAAATTGAGGCATGGAGAGGTCTCCCAGAAACCAGGGTTTGGCCCCACGTCTCCATATTCTGGAGCCAAACTCCACCCCTTCTCCTAGGGCTGGAGGCTGTCCTGGGGCTGGGGCCTGTTCTGACCCATCCAGGGCCCTCCAAGGGTTTGTCCTGATGATAAACTGAACAAACAGGATAAAGGCAGGAAGGAGAGAGTCCTGCAGGCTGCTTGGTGGTCCCCCAGCTCGGTGAGCTGGCCCCTGGTAGCATCAACACCTACCCATGGTTGGGGCCTCTGCTTGTGCAGTGGTGGCTGGGCCTGCAAGGCTGAGGGAGGGGACGCTACGGAGACGGAACTCACTTCCTCATCGCCAGGCTCTGCACAGGAACCCCACGCTTAGGGTTGTAACAGCAGGTGGGAAATTCCCTGAGCCCGGGGAGCCCTCCTTTTCTCAGGAGACCGTCTCTGAGCACCGGCTGTGTGCCAGGCCCATAGAAGCCCTGGATGACATTTCGAACAGGCCCGTTCCTAACCCAGGGGGAGGTGGGCTGGGAGGCAGGCTGGTGTCCCAGGCATCAGCCAGCGGATGCAGAAAGGCTGCTGGGACTCCTGCTCTGCTTACAGGGACATGAGACCTGGCTCCTGAGGGACAAAGAGGCAGAGATGGGAGGACGAGGACCCTGAGGTCAGGCGTTGGGAGCAAAAGACCCCCTAAACCAGGAAGCTCGCATGCCAGCGAGTGGACCCCAGCGCTTTGTTGAGACCCCTCCATGTGCTTCCGGAGATGAGATGGGAAGACAGCCTGGCCTCGCAGGCAGCGGCTTCCTGGTGCTGCCACAGACCCCGGGCCAGGTGGTGGGCACAGGCAGCCACAGGTGCCAGGACCGCAGTCCTGCAAAGCAAGGAGGAGAAAGCAAAGTCTGAGGCTGGGCGAGGGCAGCCGGAGCGTCCTGCGCTGTCCCTGAAGGTGCCCAGAGCTCTCCAGGCGTGACCAGGGCCCCAGGACATGGGAACAGGGAGGGTGAAGGCCCCAGGCTGCACAAGGCATTTGATCAGTGAGGCCATGTTCCGTGTCCGCAGTTCCACGCACGCTTCCTCCTTTGGAAGGCGTCTTACGGGCTGCACCCTGCTCCCACTCCTGGGCGAGCAGTTTCCCTGAAGGGTCTCTTGGGCGCCTGTTGGCATCAGATGTCTCCTGATTCACCATTCCTGGCCCCCAGAGGTCCCGGTCTGTGCCCCTCAGAGGTGGTTGAGGGGTGGGAAGGATTTGGCCACAAACTGACCAATCAGGTTACAGTTGGAGCAGGTGTGCTGGGGGAGGGGATGTGCTGGGGCCACTTCACAGCTAGGAGCTATCGCCTCTGCAAGCCTTGCTGGCCTGGGGCTGGTCTGGCTGAGGCCCTGAGGTCTGAGGTCCCCAGGGAGCCTTCCCTGACTGTGAGATTCCCTCCCTGGCCAGGGCTAGGGGACCCTCTCTATGCCTCATAGAACCTGCCTCATGGAACCATCGCTATTCTGTCTAAATTCTCAACTTAGCAGGTCTGGGTCTTCCTCCCTCTGTGTTCCCACTGGCCGGCTCAGAGCTGGCACAGCACAGGGGTACGTGGTGGTTGTTGAAACCAAATACTTTAGACAGTGGGCTCCTCCTGCCCCTGCTCTGCTGATGGAGCCCAAAGTGTGCGGTGAGCTGGGGCCTGGGAGGCCGGTTCTCAGGGTGACAACCACAGCCATGGGGGCAGGGGTGATGACTGGGCTTACATGACACCCACTTGTCCCTGCCTGCAGCCGACTCGCCCCCTATGAGGGTTTCCTCGTTCTGTACTAAATGTTACAGGGGAGCTGCCTCTTGGGGAGCCTCTGTGAAGGGAGCTGTCGCCGCAGTGGTGGCCCGAGCCGAGAGCAGTGTGGGGATGGAGGAGGTGCTCACGGGGCGGGGGGGGAGGAAGGCAGCAGGGATGGCAGCTGCAGCGTGCGCTTCTGCTTTGGTCTGCCGGGTGTGCCGGTGCACGTGTGTGTGTGTGTGTGCGCGCGCGCGCGCACAGGCAGGAGAATTGCCTGACCCCTCAGAGCCTCGGTTTCCCCATCTGTGTACTGGGGAGGTAGGCCTTCCTTGGGGTTGCTGGGCCAAGGCATCTGGCAATGGGAGGTGTGCCAGTTGACACCCACTGTCCTGGGAGTCCTGAGGTCAGTCTTGACAGCCTCTGGGTTTTCAGGCTCAGAGCCTTGGGGGAGAGCTGGGGGTGCTGGGGAAGGAAGCCGGGCTCTGTCTGTGCTTGATGTATGGTGAGATTTTCCGTGCTGCTGTCTGATGCAGGCTCAGCTGCCCCTGTTTGGTGAAAAATTGAGGTGGGGAAGAAATAAGCCTAGCACTCCCGCGGCTCCTGCTTCTGATTTCCCCACCCCTGCAAGACATTCTGAGCGGCCGCTGGGACAGACTCTCCTACGTGCGGACTCGACCCCCTGCTCCTGGCTTGAAGCCCCCAGGGGTGCCTCTCTGCCTTTCCTGGGTGCTGGATGTCCAGGGCCTCCTGCCTCCCCTTCACAGCCGCGTCCTGTGTCCCTGACTGCAGACCCCACGTACCCCCAACAGCTTCCCGGTTTGCCTCCCAGTCCCCTGCCACATTCCCTGCCCAGAGACCAGGGTGGAAGTGGGAGATGGGGCAAGGACAGGAGGCTCTGGGGGTTGTCCTGGCCGCTGGCAGGCCCCAGCCTGGTGGGCCCATCAGGGCTCTGAGGCCCGGACAGAGGCCCTGGCAAGCCCTGGGTGCCTGGTCCCCCAGCGTCCACCACAAAAGGGGTGACGGCACAGCAGGAGGCCAGACTTGCACTTTTGCCCCCAGACAGAGGTCAGAGGCATCGCTGCCCCGGTTCTCCATGCCCTGCCTGCAGAGGGGATGTTTGCTGGCCACTGGGGGGGCTTCAAGCCAAGAGCAAGGGGACGAGTCCACACGTAGGAAACTCTGACCCAGTGTTTGCTCAGAATGTCTTGTGGGGCAGGGAGATGGGAGGCAGGAGCTGCAGGGGATGCTGGCTTATTTCTTTCCCACCTCACATTTCACCAAGGAGGGGCAGCGGAGCCTGCGATAGATAGCAGCAGGGAAAACCTTCTCACCACACATCAGGCACAGACGGAACCCCTTTTCCTTCCTCTGCATCCCCATCGCTCCCCGAGGCTCTGGACTTGAAAACCGCCCTGGCCATGGCGTTCTAGTGGGGCAGGGTGGACCTTCCTCCACTCACAATCAGGGAACAGTGAGGCCCCCCATGACCAAGCCCTCCCTGCAGGGACAGCAGGGTCCTGACTCTGCGCTTGCCGTCCTCCCCGCTGGTCAGCCTCTCTGCCTGAGGCCGGAGCTGAGGAGGACACGGCTGACCCCATCCCCGCGGCCACAGCTGGGATTTGTCCCCTGTGTGCCTCAGCCCTGGCCCTGGCCGCCATCCCCACGGGCCCTGCGCCTGCATGTGATGCCGGAAGGAGGACTCTGTGTCCTTCTGTGTCTTCTGGCGGGCGACGGAGCACTGTCCCGGGAGCACAGTCTGCCAGGCATGACGGCCTAGCAAAGAGGCAGTGACCGGCCCCTGAGGAGGGGCCCAAGGCACCCAGGAGCTCTGACTCAACGGGGAAGGGGCCTCCAGGCAGAAAACCAGCGAGAGGAGGCCCTGCGGAGGAAGGGAGCACAGCACACCCGAGATGGGGAGGGGAGGCACAGCAGTGGTGCGGGATCACATCCACCACAACACCACACACGGTCACCTGCTGCGGTGAGGGGCCCGCTGGGTCTGAAAGGTGCAGGCGCTCAGCAACGCTGGCGTTCTCTCCGCTGAACCCCAGCCTTGGACACAGCCTCTGTGCTGGTTCTGGGGGGGGCCGCCTCTCCTGACCACACCCACTCTGTCCACAGGGCCAGGCATGTGAGGCCGCCGCGGGTCATGGAGAAACTCCCTGCTGTGATCACTGAGGAGCCGACCCCCATGGGGAGGGGTCCCGTGGGACCCTCAGGAGGGGGCAGCAGCCAGGACCACGTCTGGACGGTGGCCACGAGGCCCTCTGTGAGCTGGGAGAAAGCGGGGCCTGAGGAGGCCAAGGCGCCGGGGAGGGGCGGTGAGTCCATCCCACCCACTTGTCCACCCCACCTGCCCTGTCCATCTGTCCTTCACCGCGCTGTCTGCCTCCAGGCCTCCTGGGGTAAGGGCTGGGGCTGGGGCTGGGGCTGGGGCTGGGGTCTGCTCTCCATCACTTCTCGTTTCCTTCCCCCGCGTGTGTTTACTGGAGCCACTATGCCCGCTGAGTCACTTGAGAGGCCAGAGCCCAGCTCGTGTTTTTCCAGGGACAGGTCAGTGATAACAAAGCTGGCAAAGAACGAGACAGGGGCATTTGAACCCACATGTTCAGAGACCGTTCCAGAAACAGGCCGATGGGTTTGGCCTTGGAACCCCTGAGAGTCCTCAGGATGAGGCATCCTCATTCCCCAGGAGGCACCCAAGGTGCAGAGAGGGAAGGGCCAGGCCAGGACGCGTGCCCAGTCTCCTGAATCCCTGGGAAACCTGAAGGGTGGCCTAGGTGATCTCTAGGATCCCATCTTACCCTCATCCTGAGACCCTGAAGGGGAGGAGGGGAGAGGCAGGGGACACCAAGGCCTGCAAGCCTCTCCCTGGCTGGAGACAGCTGTGGCTGTGACCCCGCCCTGGGCCGCCTCCTCCCAGTGTCCAGCCTCAGCCTGGTCTCCTCTTAGCTGCCCACGTCCCTGTCTCGGGACTCCAGGGCTTAGCACATGGTAGGTGCTCCGTCACTGTTCAAGGGATTGATGAACAAAGGATGTGTTTGGACAGTGGCGTGAAAACCTCAGATGCCGTCGTGGCTCACAGCCAGGTATGGGAGTGTTTTATACCTGCGATCCTGCCCTTCCGCATGAGGGCGGAGATGGGAAGGGGTCGATGGCCTCCTGCCCTGAATCACAAAGGGGAAGTGGTCTGCAGGCACTGGCCTGCCCGGCCAGGAAGGGCGGCTCAGAGGTTTGGGGCGGGGCCTGGGCCTGGGGAGCCCACCAGGCCACGGAATCACGTTCCCTCCAGGGCAGGCCTCACGGAAAGGAAGGGGCTGGGCCGTGCCCTGGGCCATGAGTGCACAGAGCAGGAGGGCCCTGGCCAGCCTCCCACAGAGCCGCGGGGCCCAGGGAGGAGCTGGGAGCCTCTGGGAACGGGAGTGGCGGGAGTTGGAAGCCTTTGCCCTGAGTGACTGGGTGTTTCTTCCTCCAGAGGCTCAGCAAAGCACTGTGGCATTGCCTCTGCCTGGAGCGAATCTCTGTGGGCCCAGCGCAGGGGAGCTGAGGAAACTCTCCCTGCTTACGAGGCTGGGTGGGTCGAGGGAAAGCTGGCTTGGGGTGGGGCTCCTCAGCTCCTTCACCTCCTTGTCTTCTCTGGGCAATTTCAGATAGACATCAAAGGTGGCAAGAAATAGTGCAGATGATTCCATTTGCCCACACCCAGATTCCTTGAATGTTCACATTTTATGACTTTTACTTTGTGTGTGTACTCGTGTGTGTGTGTACTCGTGTGTGTGTGTACTCGTGTGTGTGTGTACTCGTGTGTGTGTGTCTGTGTGTGTGTGATTTTTTTCTGATCCTTTTGGGAGTAAATGGCAGACATGATGCACCTTCATCCTAAAAGGTGTCCCTATTTCCTAAAACCAGGACGTTCTCTTACATAACTGCATTGTAATTATTTCAATGTTAACTTCCTGGTTTTAATAACACCATCACCTCATCTACAGGCCTCATTCAGATCTTGCCATTTATCCCAATAATATCCTTTATAGCAAAAAAAATATGTATATATATTCCTGGGTCACACCTTGTATTCTGACGCGACCTCTCTGAGGTACCTTTTAATCTGGAGGCTGCTGTTTTGAAGATACAGTTTGGATCTTTGTAGAATGCCCCTCGATTCAAGTGCAGCTAATATTTCTTCACGATCACATTAGGGATTCGGGCAGGAATCCCGCAGAAGCAATGTTTCTTCAGTGCAGACGATGTCCATTAGTCTCTGGCTGGTGATGCTAATTTTGCTCCCTTGGGGAAGGGGCGGCTGCCAGTTCTCCCCACTGCACAGTTATTTTTCTCCCCTCCGCAGTTAGTAAGTAACTGGGTGGACGACACCCTGAAACTGCGTGAATATCCTGTTCCCTGTCAAACTCCTGAAGCTCTACTGTCTCATCATGGGCTGGCCTGGCTGAAATAGTCCTTGCGACAGAGGCTGCCAGGCGGTGCCTGTCTAATGAGGCAAGCCTTCTCCATTCAGCAATCAGTTTTCAACTGTGAGGAAGAGCTGTCCCGCTCCCCAGGTATCCACTGATTTAATTCAGCGTAGGCTCACACATCTTTAATCGAGTCTTCGGACTGTATACATCATTACCTCTTTCGTCATTCAGATCACCCTAGATTTGGGTTTTCCATGTGTCTATATCACTCAGTGGGTGCGTCCTCACTTTCTGGGACATGAGATGTTCTGGGCTCATTCTGCACTTTCGCTGCCACAGCCCTGGGATTGGCTGGGTCTCCAGGGAGCCCTGGCTTCTGAACTGGAGGATGATGTTTAGAAGCTGTTGGGCCGGATACCTATCAACTTCAATAGGGACGGCACCTTGTTCGAGAGGTGGAAGAGGAGACCCAGAGCCAGCGGCCATGACATAGGGTTGATTGAGAGGACTTCCATACAGGTTGGTTCAGCAGTGGTGGGCTGGACAGGCCCCCTGTAAAAACGCATGCAGTTGATACAGCATTTTGCCTTAGCACCCTCCCTCTACCATCCTCCACCTGGCAAGCCTCATCCAACCCTTCCAAACAAAGGGGCAGGATCTGCGTGGCCTGCATTCCGTGCGATGAGCCAGGGGCTCAGATCTTCTTCACATAGGAAGTGAATCTCCAGGCTGGCTGCTGCTGGATTCTTTAGCACGAAAGTCTGAGCACACGTTCTTTTTAGCAAACGGGGGCATCCACGGGGTGTGTTTCGGTTACAGCTGTCAGGTGCATCAACCAACGGAGCTGAGATCTGAGCAACACACGTTTCTTTCCATTTGACACATTTCTTTTTTGTTTTTGAGACGGCGTCTTGCTCTGTCGCCCAGGCTAGAGTGCAATGTTGCGATCTCGACTCACTACAACCTCCGCCTCCCGGGTTTAAGCAATTCTCCTGCCTCAGCCTCCCGCGTAACTGGGACTACAGGCATGCGCCACCCTACCTGGCTAATTTTTCTATTTTTAGTAGAGACGGGGTTTACCATGTTGGCCAGGCTGGTCTCGAACTCCTGACCTCGTGATCCACCTGCCTCAGCCTCCCAAAGTGCTGGATTACAGGCGTGAGCCACTGCGCCCGGCCTGTTTGAGACATTTCTGAGTCTTCACTGCATGCCTAGCTCTGGGCTTGGGCTGGGGCTGCAGAGTAAGTGAGGCCTATGAATGGGCTCTGGCCACACAGGGCAAGCGCACACCACTGCAGGCGGTCAGCAAATGCTGGTGTGAAGTGAACACTATCACTTGGGCGATGCAACGCCCAAGGCCACTGTGGCTGAGCTGCGCCCAGGGCTCGGAGCGAGACATCCAGGAGGCTGTGAAGACTGGCCACACAGAAGTTCACGACGCTCTGCTGCAGTTGCAGGTTTTCCTAATCAGATCCCCCTGGATCCTGAGGCCTGGATAGAGAAACTGCGCAGGACAAAGACGAAGTGCCCAGGCCAAGATGCAAACTCTGCAGGACCAATGGCCAGAGGGGTGACCCCCAGCAGGGAACCGAGCAGCCAGTAGGGGTCCATGTCCCGGCTCCCACCTGCACAAGCTGTGAGGCTGAGCCTATCTGTGGGCGGCAAGATAAAGTCCCCCAAAAATGCCCACGTCCTTATGCTCAGGACCTATGCCTGCATTACCTCATCCAGCGAAAAGGACTTTGCAGATGTCATCAAAGGCAAGGATCTCGAGATGGAGAGAGGATCCCGGATGCTCCGATGGGCCCTCCATGGAATCACAGGGCCTTTGTAGGAGGAAAGCAGGAGGGAGAGGCAGAAAAGGAGATGCAGTGACAAAGCGGAAGTAGAAGTGGCGGCCACATGCCCAGGGACATGTGCAGCCTCTTGAGGGCGAGGAGTGGATTCTCCCCAGAGCCCCTGGGAGGAACAGGGCCCTGTCCACACCCTCACTTTAGCTCTGTGAGGCCCATTGGAACTTCAGAGCAGTGGGGTCCTACCAGTCGTGTGGTCTTAATCTTCTGAGTGCGGGGCAGCTTGTCACAGCACACTGGGAAATGCAGGCAGCTTCTCTCCTTGCTGGGCTCTGGGGAGACTGGAGGAAGGCAGCTGTGGGAAAGGCGGCTTGTGCGGGACAGAACTCACCTCTTTTCTTGCAGAAAGACCTGGAGCGTTTGGCGCCTTCAGGGGAGCCAGGCATTTGCTTGATCTCCCCTAATCCTGGGAACCTGCTGTGTTGCAGATGAGGCTTCTTCCGCCCGTGTGGCTGGGCCTGCCGCTGGGACCCCTCCCTGGCAGATGGGGGCTTATCCCACAGGTAAACATCCTGCGCCCCACGCAGGGCTTCAGGTTCAAATCTGGGCTGTGGCGCTCCCTGGGCATCCAAGAGTCTAACCCAGGGCTTCTCAACGTGTGGCCTCAGACTTCCCGCCTTAAAATCACGGTAGGAGTAGAAAGAGGGGCTCGTTAAATGCGGATGCCCAGGTCCTGCACCCAGAGGGGGACATAGCCCCTGGGGGCTCCCTTAGGCTTCCCTGTATGCGTCTGAACAAACAGGGGACACGGGTCCTGGGGGCTCCGTGGGTGACACCGTGGGGAGGGGCTTCGCAGGTGCCATGTGGTAAGAAGTAGGTGAAAGTGCCCTCTGCGTGGTGGTGCGAGGCATCCAGGCACAGGCTTCCCAGGGATGGGATCTCCGCAGGGCACAGGTGGAGGGAGGCAGCCCCGGGCTGGGGAGCAGAGCCCACAGAGGGGGCCCAGGAAGTTGTGGGCTGTGGAGGTGTTAAAAAGCCCCTTGCCCTGGAGACCCCCCGACCCCCAGCTGGGGAAGAATGGAGACCCCAGCATCCATGTTGGCTTTTCACCTTTGCTGTGATGCCCGACTGTCCTCTGACTTTCCTATTGTGTGGTCAGCACTGCTGGTGGCCACTTGGGATGACCAGGATGCGTTAGGCAATACGACAGGTTATTTAGAATTTGAAAATGTAGGCTGGGTGCGGTGGCTCATGCCTGTAATCCCAGCACTTCGGGAGGCTGAGGCAGGTGGATCACTTGAGGTCAGGAGTTCAAGATCAGCCTGGCCCATATGGAGAAACCCCATCTCTACTAAAAATACAAAAATTAGCTGGCACACGCCTGTAATCCCAGCTACTTGGAGGCTGAGGCAGAAGAATCACTTGACCCCAGGAGGCAGAGGTTGCAGTGAGCCGAGATGGCGCCATTGCACTCCAGCCTGGGCGACAGAGCGAGACTCTGTTCTAAAAAAAAAAACAACAAAAAAGGGACAATGCAATGCCCACCCTCTTATGGGAGCAGGAACTTCAGGCCATCACAGCGCAGGAACTGTTGTGGAATGATGGGCTGGTGTCTCCTGTTGGAGGAGCGGATTCCGGATTCCAGAGGTATCCAGACTGGCCCTTCCGCCATAGCGGGTGAGGGTGTTTGCTCAAGGGTCCCCTAGCAGAAAACTCTCAGGCAGGTGCTTCAAGGTTATTCAAAGGTGTGAGAATCCGCCTCTGCCTCTGTCTCATTTCCGTCTGTCTCTCCAGTTTTCCCTCCCTCTCTCCCATTTTCTCCCCTCTCCTTTCCTCTCTTCCTCCTGGTTTCTCTCCCCTCCCTCCCTCTCTCCCTCCTGGTTTCTCCCCTCTCCCTCCCTCTCCCCCTCCCATTTTCTTCCCCCTCCTGGTTTCTCCCCTCTCCCTCCCTCTCCCCCCACCCGTTTCCTCCCTTCTCCCTCTTTCCCCCACTTTTCTCCCTTCTCCCTCTTTCCCCTACTTTTCTCCCTTCTCTCTCCCTCTCCCCCTCTGGTTTCTCCTCAATCCCTTCTTCTCCCCGTCCGTTTTCTTCCCTCTCCCTCCCTCTCCCCACCCTCCCATTTTCTCCCTTCTCCCTCCTTCTCCCCCTCCCATTTTCTCCCCCTCCCTCCTTCTCCCCTTCCCATTTTCTCCCCCTCCCTCCCTTTCCCCCTCCTGGCTTCTCTCCTCTCCCTCTCCCCCTCCCAGTTTCTCCCCTCTCTGTCCCTCTCCACCCCCGCCCCCGTTTTCTCCCTTCTCCTTCCGTCTCCCTCTCCCAGTTTCTCCCCTCTCCCTGTTCTCCTTCTCCCTTTCTACTACTCATTCTCTTCCCCCTCTCCCCTACTTCTCCGTTTGGCTCTGTAGAGGCCAAAGCCCCTGGAATGACACTGCCTAGAGATCTGGGGCGGAGTCTTGACCTGGACGACTGGGAAGCCTTTTTTCTCTGTGTTTCCAGGCACTGGGAGGGATAGTGCACAGGGCAGACGGGGTCACAGCCCCGGGAGCCTGGATTCTAGTGGGAAATTGCCAACCTCAGACATTGAGGAGGGGGGTGGATGTCAGGAGCTCCACGGCCCCCGTGGCGGGTGGCCCCCGAATGGGACCCAGCAGACAGAGCCCACGCCCACCCCTGCGGAAGGTTCCGCTGGACGGTGCCACAGGGATGGCCCAGAGCGGGGGTGATGGGTCAGACTGTGCCGTCATGGGGTCCCAGTGGCTCTGCACAGATCAGGGGACAGACAGGAGGGAGGGCCAGGTGTGGACAGCTGCCCAGGTCAGACCTGCCGAGGCTCGGAACCAGGATGGGGGCAGGGGTGGGGTGGGGGGTGGAGCTCACGGGGTTGCTGGTGGCTGATGTGGTGTGTGAGTGGGAGGTGTCATTGATCTGAGCAGGGGTGGGGGCCCTCTGCCCTCTGAGAGACAGGGAGGAAGTGGAGAGGAGCTGGCTTAGGGAGGCGGAACTGAGGTTTCCAAGGTGCTTGTGGGGTGTTTGCTGGAGGTGGGTGCCCCTCCCCAGACTCCCCACCTTACAGTCACCAAGGGGGTGGAAGAGGGGCTTGCTAAATGCAGCTGTCCAGGTCCTGTGCCCGCAGGTTCCGATGCAGCAACCCTCTGGGGCAGGGCGCTGAGGGGGAAGGGTTGGAGGTCACGGTGACAGGGCCGAGAGACCACCTGTGTGCAGTGGTTGCTGTGCCGGCCTGGCCTGCAGGGGGCATGAGTCCACTTGTCTCCACCACTCCATAGGACAGGCACTCATCCCGAAGCCACCACTCCATAGGACAGGCACTCATCCCGAAGCCACCACTCCATAGGACAGGCACTCATCCCGAAGCCACCACTCCATAGGACAGGCACTCATCCCGAAGGAAACAGGCTGGGAGCTAAGCAGCGGCCCAAGGCCTTTTTAGGGGTGGGGCAAGCTTGAGATCTAAACCCAGGGCTCGGGCTCCCCAGGAGCCCACTGCCCAGGCCTTCAGGGTCAGGTGTGTGGGTTGGAGGCTGGCAGGGGGAGTACAGTGTCCCAGAGACCTCTCAGCCCAGGCTAGACCAGCTGCCCACTCTCCATCTGCCCCTCCAGACCTGACCCTGCAGCTGCTGGCTGTGCGGAGGAAGAGCGGCCTACAGGACCCCGGCCTACAGCAGACCCTCCGGGGCCAGCTCCGCCTGCTGGAGAATGACAGTCGGGAGATGGCCCGCGTGCTCGGCGTGAGTAGCCTTCTGGGGCCTGGGCAGGGATGGGAGCTGGAGTCGGGGGCAGGGAGGGACTGAGGTGCAGTGTCTGAGACCGGGGACAGAGGACACAGGCCTCAGAGAGCAAGAGCCACTCGGGAGAGTGGTGGCCTCGGAGGGAGGGGAGGCTGTGATACCCAGGGGTTGGCGAAGGGTTGTTTCTCCCACTTGCTTCGTGGGGGACACTGTGATCATCCCCTCTGCTCTCCCACAGCCTCAGCACAGGGGACCTTGAGCTGTCGCTTTCTCCACCTGTCCTCCACTCACAAGGACTGTCAAAGTCTCTTTGATGGGGAGTTAAGGACAAGTGTGAAGTTAGTCTTATTATTTTTTTCCTGGCGACAAAGCCAGCATCTTGCGGGCCTCTGCACACACCAGCGTTCTGGGGAGGCTGGCACAGGGTGTGTCTGGACCTGGCAGACCTCCCCATGGCTGAGGGCCAGGGGTTTGGGAGCTGGGCTGGACATTACCACCACTGACTGGGGTTGCACCAGCCTGGCCTTGGCCGGTGCCTGTTAGCCTCTATGAACCCTGCTTCCTCAGCCACATACTGGGGATGCTTAGAATTACGTCCCTAGGAGCTGACTTGAGGGTTATGTGATGAACTCACACCAAGCACCTGCAGGGTGCTGGACACATAGTACCTGCTCGACACGTGGGGCTGTGGTGCATGATGTCGGGCACAGGTGCACTGAGTCAGTGTGCTGGCTCTGGGTTTGAATCTCAGCTGAGCCACTTACAGAGGTCAGACCTTGGATGAGAAATGGGGCCTTCAGCGGGACATGGTGGCTCACACCTATAATCCTAGCACTTTGGGTGAACGAGGAAGGAGGATCACTTGAGCCCAGGAGTTCAAGACCAGCTTCAGCAACATAGGGAGGCCTCGTCTCTACAAAACATAAAAAAGTTAGCCAGGTGTGATGGTGCACACCTGTGGGAGGGTAAAATGGGTGGATTACCTGAGCCCAGGAGGCTGAGGCTGCAATGAACTGTGATTGTGCCACTGCACTCCAGCCTGGGCGGCAGAGTGGGACCTCATCTCTAAAAAAGAAAAGAAAAGAAAGAAACAGGGCCTTATTTTTTGTCTCTCAAATGGAGACTCTAATAGTGCCCCGCGACACATACTTCCCGAGAAGAGCTGTGTTAGCTGCTGTTATTTTTCATGTGCCTATCAACACTGATGAATAGAAATCAGAGGAGAGGGGATGCTGGCTGGGGAGATGGAAATCGGAGTTGATGCTGCAGGTGGGGCTGGGGCCACTCAGGGCTGGGAGCACAGCCGAACAGGAACCAGCTTAGGTGGGGAGAACAGGCAGTCACTGGTGTGTGGGGGATAAGGCAGGTGGAGTGCTGAGGGGGAGGCGTAGAGGGTGAGGGGCCAGGGCATGGGGGCCACATGAGCTCTGGAAACGGCAGGAGCTTCTCCCCACAGGCTCTGGGGAGCCATGACTGGCTTGAGAGCAGGGGAGGAGCTGACTTGGAATGTGAAGGAATCTGCCCTGGGTGTGTCGTGCCCCGCTGGGGCCCGTCTGCGAGATGTCTCTCTCATGTGGACCGTGTCCTCCTGAGAGATGCCCCAGAGCTCCTGGGGCCCTCTCGAATTCCTGTTTCTTTCTCTTAAGGAATTATCAGCCAGGCTGCTGTCGATCCACAGTGACCAGGACCGGATCGTGGTGACGTTTAAGACTTTTGAAGAAATCTGGAAGTTTTCCACCTACCACGCTCTTGGTAAAGAGGTGACCCTCCCAGAATTGGTCATAGGGACACCTGTTGGAAGGTGCTGGTTACCTACCATGCACTTAGATTACAAATTCGTGCTTTATTTATTTATCTATTGTTTTAAGACGAAGTCTCACTCTGTCACCCAGGCTGGAGTGCAATGGTGCAATCTTAGCTCACTGCAACCCCTGCCCCCTGGGTTCAAGCGATTCTCCTGCCTCAGCTTCCTGAGTAGCTGGGATTATAGGCACAAGCCACCATGCCCAGCTAAATTTCTGTATTTTTAGTAGAGATGGGCTTTCACCATGTTAACCAAGTTGATCTCAAACTCCTGGCTTCAGGTGATCTGCCTGCCTCGGCCTCCCAAAGTGCTGGCATTACAGGCGTGAGCCACAAATCCGTGCTTTAGAACAGGCAGGTTCACAAAGGCCTCACCAGTGAGATAGCAACACTGGTGTGCGCACCTGGTGCTCAGGGAGCAATGCCGGGTAGGCGGAGTCGTGGACGGATGTGGGTCTTTGTTGAAGGAATGATTTAGGCTGTGCTTCTAGTTGCCTTCACATGCTGCCTTCTATAATTTCACTCAACCACAACTTGAGGGAAGCTGCCATCCGGTGGCCTCAGTGCTGACCAGGAAAGCTGTTATTTGAAAGCTGACCCACGTGAGCTCTTCCTGAAACGTTCCCTGTTCCATTTGGAGGAATTCCAGGCTCTAAAGGAGCCTCCCTGGGGATCTTGCTGTCCCACCCTTGATTTCAGGGCCGAGTAAGTTAGGGAATAGGAATTGTAGCCACAATTCCCTGAGCACCAGTGAGCAGGGCTGATGCTCATCCCCCTTGGCCGGTTCTTGGAGGAAGTGGCTCATCCTTGGCTGCCCATCCACAGTGATGGCCATTGCGGGTGGGGCAGGGGGGCGTCCATCCAGAGGGCAGCAGGCTTCCCGTCCCCCTCTTTCAAAGTCCACTCTACACTGAGTATGGAGGAAGGATTCTCACGTCACTTGCCTGTGCCTTAAGCGTGCACCAAGCCTCCTAGTTCAGCTGCGGTGAACAAAGCCTCACTGTCCCAGACGGGAGTGGGGAGCTCGCAGCATCCCAAAGACAAGGCTTCACCTGATAGAAATGGAAACAGATATCAGCTCATAACGCGGGGTGGGGCTCGCGCATGTGCGTTTCAGACTCACCTTGCTGCTAACCCGCACCCCCCACGGCCTGCACGGCCCCGACCACATGGTCTGTCTCACAGAGGGGGATACGGAGGCATGGGGAGGTCAGATAACTTGACCATGGTTGCCGTTCGTGGGTGGTGGAGCTGGGCTTGACCTCTCACAGCCTGGATGGTCAGGCTGTGTAGCCAGCACTGTGTGCACCTCAGGGCAAGTCTCCCTGGACCTGGTCAGTGCAGGGCTCAGCTAACCCAGGGCCACGCAGGCTTCCCTGTCTCCCTGCCCCTCTTCCGGAGCCCTCAGGTGACCGGGCCTTGCCTCCACAGGCTTCACTCATCACTGCCTGGCAAACCTGCTTATGGACCAGGCCTTCTGGCTGCTCTCGCCCAGTGAGGAGGAGGAGACGGCCATCCAAGTCCATGTGGATGAGAACGCCTTGAGGCTGACCCACGAGAGCCTCCTCGTCCAAGAAGGTGAGTGTTGCATGGGGTGATGGCCGAGGTCTAGCTGTGCGGGGCACGCCCGGGCCGTGGGGTGACAGCCTGGATCCCGCTGTGCTGAGCATGCCTGGGGCTGTGGGCTGCGGAGCCTCTGGAGGCTGAGGGGTGTTCCAGGCAGGGAGGTGTGCTTGGTGTGGCACTGTCACTTAGTGGTAGAGACCCTGGTTAGCCCCCAGGGACACAGAGGTGGCTGGGAAACAGCGGAAGAGAGGTTCTGTCTGGTGCCAGCCCCAGCTCGTGTCCCTGGCGTGGCTGCTGCACTAGCCTCGTGGTCTAACCCCGAGTCTGAGGCGGGGACATGAGGCCGTCTTTCCTACCCAACCACAGCCGGAGAGGGCTGCCAGCGGTGGCTGGGCTCACTGGGGCAGTCCACACTCAGCAGAAGGGCCCTGGGGGTCCCACGTTTGGCTCCGCATCACACAGTCAAAGAAACTGAGGCCCGGGGCGAGGGTCTGAGGCTGAGCCAGCCTCACACAGCACATGGAGGCTGAGCTGGGACCTTGCCCCGGGCCCACCTCCCCGTCTGGTCCCCTTTGGGTTTCTGTGCCTGCAGATACTGGGGGAGCCATTCCTGCGGGTGCTGCCTTCGTTGTCTGTCCGGCAGGGGTGTGGGGGGCAGGGCCACAGCTGCGCCCAGTCCAGCCACCCTCAGTGACCGCCTCCATCCTTTTGAAGGGCCCTTCTTTGTCCTGTGTCCTGACCACCATGTGAGAGTGATGACGGGTCCCCGGGATGCAGGAAATGGCCCCCAGGCCCTCAGGCAGGCTTTGGGGGCTCCCCAGGGAGAGGCGGCCCTGGAAGCAGACTCTTCACCACCGAACCCCAGCGTGTCCTCCGAGGAGGTGGCAGTGGCAGCCGCCCCGGAGCCTTTGATTCCATTTCATCAGTAGGTACCAGCCTTTGCTGCTCTGAGAACTGTTGGCCTCACCGAGACTCCCAGGCCCGGGTCATCTGGAGGTCAAGGGGATGGACAGGGAATGGTGGGAGCCCCGGACAGACCTGGCCATGGACTTGTTCTGCTGCTTCCCAGCTGTGTGGCCTTGGCAAGTTGGCCACCTGTCTGAGCCTCTGGCCTGCCAGCTGCATGATAGGCCAATGACATCCACCTGGCAGGGCTATCCTGGGGTTTGATGGCACAGGAGGTGTGGCATGAGCTCTCACCAGGCTCATCCAAAAAGCTTTTGAGGAAGTTACATAAAACATGTGTACCCAGAGTGAGAAGGCACAGGGGACCCAGGGGTAGAGCCAGGGGATGTGAGGACAGGTGACATGCAGACTCCTGTTCACTTGCTGAAGCAGGGGCATTAACTTGGGTTGGAGCTTCCTGGTAGCCAAAGCAAAGAGAGAACCTCAGTCTCTTGATTTGCAGTATCTCAAATGACAGGCTATGGCTTGGCTTCTCTCATTACTGAGACCCAGGAGGAGCTTCTCCTAAGAATCCTCCCTATGTCCTCTGGCCAGTGGCATCCCAACAGGGGACACTGAGTGTGTTCTGCCTTCTGGGAAAGAGGGACTATCAGTCATCTAGTTCAGCTTCATTTTTTTCTGGCTGAAGGAACTGAGGCCGAGAGAGGAGTGATCTGTCCAGGTTATATGGCAAAGTCACAGTAGCGCTAGGATTTGAATCCAGGCCTCCAGAGCCCCAGGCTGGGATCTCCCTCACCCCTCTCTGTGCGGAGCTGGGGGAGGCAGGTGCTTTGGTGGTCTGCAGGGTTCCAGGTTCACAGGGGGGGTGGTGTTTCCAGGATGAGGGCCCTAGGCTGAGGGACATGGGGCTCCCTGGGAGCAGTGCCACACACACGGGGCCCGAAGGCCACACAACCGGGCAGGCGTGTGTGTGTGTGTGCACGTGTGTGTGTCCGGGGAGGCGAGGGACCTGCTCGGGTTGCTGGGGGCGGCTGACCTGTCCAGTCTCTGCACAGGATGTATCTGCCCCAAATCTGAAATCCCGCAGCAAAGACCTCCCTCTTCTGGTTCCAGGTGGGCTCTTAGGGTCCCCCAGGACCCCATCGATGACGCCATGGGTGGCCCTGTGACGCCCGACAACCCGCTGATGGGTAAGTGTTTCCATGGGCCTCACACACCCGGGGAAAGGTGTGTGCCACGGAGCAGCACCAACATTTTGGAAGTTGTCCTGAACCCTCCCTGAGCCAGAGAGAGAGAGAGAGAGAGAGAGAGAGAGAGAGAGCGAGCGAGCTATTAGGTAGTGCAAAAGTAATTGTGATTTTTGTTATTACTTTCAATGGCAAAAACCACAATTACTTTTGTACCAATCGAGTCTTCTCCAGCTCGTGAGGTTATAACTGATACTCAGGAACTCCGGGGGCTGATGCAGCCTCACAGGATGCTCAGTGAAGCTGCACCAAGGCCCCTGGCCACTGTCTCCGAAGAGCTCCCAAATGTCACTTCTCAGACAGTGCAACACAACAGTCTCAGACTCTATCCTTCCGTCACTGTGTGAAACGCCTGGAAGGCCCTGCGTCGAGGTGGGCTGGCACTGGCAGAATTTGCCCCATGCACTAACAGAGGACTGTGACTGTGTCCTCTTTGTGAAAAGCTGGCACTGCCAGCAGCCCTTCTGCCTGGATGCCAGATCCAGCGCTTTTTGCTCTGTGCCAAGCTGCCGGTGTCTGGATGGCCTGTGCACCTGTCAGGGGGACTAACGCCCCTTGCAGGAGTGGGGTGGGGAGTGGGCAGGGCTGGGGGTTGTGGCTGCAGAAGGAAAGGAGGAAAGAGCCTTGGTTTTGGAGGCTGATGGCCAAGGCTCATTTATCAACATCTCTGAGCCTCCATTTTCCTCGTCTTCAATAGAGGGTCTAAATAAAAGCATCCCGTCTGAGGACCACGTAGACGTTCCCTGCCTCATTGCGGAGGCCAAGCTTTACTATGAACCTCCTAGCAGCCAAAAGATGAATTCCCCATGGTCCAGGGTGGCTGGCATCGGCCCTGTCTGCCCGCTCTGGCCCCTATTTGGTCTCCCTGGCACTCACCGTGTGGCTTTCTTCTGTAGCTGTGGGCCTGGCCTTGGCATTGGCAGACTTCCAGGGCTCAGGGCCCGAAGAGATGACCTTCCAAGGTGGCGACCTCATCGAGATCCTTGGGGCGCAGGTGCCCGGCCTGCCCTGGTGCGTGGGCCGACACGCAGCCTCGGGCCAGGTGGGGTTTGTGCGGAGCGGCCTCATCAGCATGCAGGGCCCCGTGTCCGAGTGAGTGGCTGGAGCCCCGCCCCTTTCCTGAACCCACCCCCATCTCACCGAAGGGGACATTGTTGCGTCCACCTGGCTTCCCAGGTGATAAGCCTGGAAGTCACTGTGGACGATGCCTAGTCTCTTCCCTTGTCCTCAGGCTGCTGCCCCTCGACCCCAGTGCCTGACTCCAGGGTTCCCCGGTGTCCTTCCTCCAGACTGCTGCAGGGAGAACGTTCCCTCGAATGCCCACCTGCCCATGTTCATTATCTTCCCATGGCTGCCGTGATAAGGCACTGCACACCAGGCGCTTAAAGCAGCAGAAATGTGCTCGTTCAGAGTTGTGGAGGCTGAAAGTCTAAAACCAAGGCCAGAAGGGCCACATTTTCTCTGGAGTCTCTAGGGGAGGGTCCTTCTTGCCTCTTCCAGCTCCTGGTGGCCGTGGGCGTTCCTTGGCTTGTGGCCACATCACTGCACTCTGCCACCATCTCCATGTGGCTGTCTTCCTTTGTGTGTCTACTGTATTCTTATGAGGGTGCCCATCTCCTAGCGCCCATCCAACTCCAGTCTGACTTCATCTTAGCTGAACTAATTACAACGCAAAGATCCTTTCTCCAGAAAAGCTTACCTTCTGGGGTTCCGAGAGACATGAATTGAGGGACACAATGTAATCCAGTACACACGTCGCCCTTCTCCGTAAAGCCCCAGGAAGCTTCTGGGCCCGGCCTTGCGGGTCCCCATGGCCAGGCTGGCCCTCGCCATCAGTTCACCGGAGTGCAGCTGCGCAGAGTAACTCGTGCCTTCTAAAACGGCTCTGGGTAACACATGTGCCCTTCTGCCTGGGATGCCCCCTCTCCCCGACCCCCCTGTTCTCCTGGGGCCTCCCATCAGCCCCCGTGGGGGCACTTTTCTGGCCATACGCCTCTTCCTATGTGATTCCCACACTACCCATGACCTGCCTGCCCCCAGCCAGGGAACTCCAAGAGAAGAATTCCCTGGTCACTTCTGTGTCCTCACTGCCCAGTGCGAGCAACAGCAGGGGGTCTTTGGAGAGGAGTCAGCTGTGCCCATCCTTTGATGGAATTCTGTTTCCCTGGACTCGAGCTTCTTCAGACCTTGGTCAAGGAGCACAGAGAACGTGGGTGTGTGGAGAGTCCACTTTCTGGGTCATATGACCCTGGTCCTGGCCCCACCAATGAGATGCTTGTCTTCAGTGGTCCTGTTCCATGTTTGGGGCTGCGACAGACCAACACCTCTCAGACTGGGTCTCAGAGGCGATTTGTTATCATGCCTCATCAAGTCATGCACTTGTTCCCCTCATGGAAAGGGTCCGTCTGCTCTGGTACCTCTGGCACCTGTGCATCAGAAGCAGTTGGAAGCTGGCTAGGCCATGCTCTGACGGCAGGAGCTACACCAGCAGTTCCCAAAGCATGTTCTCACCCACTACTCCATCACAGACTTCATCATGCCCTAAGCAGTGGGAAAAAGCTTTGTTCACATCCCTTGTGGGTGATCCCAGGGATTCCCAGCACAAACAAGGCGTCTTTGTCCTGTTGAAATGCCTTTCCCACACTTATGTAACCTCCAGAATCCTCTTCTCACACAACCCTGTTTGCTTTTGGCTGAGCTGGTGTTCCACAGGACTCTGTCTGGGCATCCTTGGTCTAGCTGATCCCTACCATTTCCAAGGGAGACCACAGCTTCTCAACAGGTCACTGGGGGCCGTGTGAAGTCAGCATGTACTGAACTTAAAAAGGGTCAGAGAAGAGCCGGGGAATGAGCTAGTTTGTACCCTTCCTTTAACCCAGAAGGATGACAGGGCCAGGTGCCATTGGTCCTGTTCCCGGATGGAGAAATTCTGACTTCTCTCATCCACTCAACAAACGTTTGCTGAATATCTTTCCTAATCCAGACCCTGGATTTTCATCTTTTATTTAATGAACAACCTGGTGGCTCTTCTTTTTTTTCTTTAACTTTATTTTTGACACAATTTCAGACTTAGAAGAAAATTGCAAAAAGAGTACAACATTCCCATATGCCCTCACCCAGATTGCACAAATGTTAACATGTTATGATATTTGCTTTATTACTTTCTCTCTTTCACTTCTATTTTTTTCTAAACCCTTTGAGAGTCAGTTGTAAACATGATGTTCCTTTACCCCTAAATAATGCAGTATGTGGTTCCTAAAACCAGGACATCTGCTTATGTAACCACAGTACAACTGTCGAAATCAGGAAATTAACACTGATACAATGCCATTACCTACAGATCTGATTCAGATTTTGCCAGTAGTCACAATGATGCCCTTTATAGACAATGAAAATTTCAGACCTCGGCCGGGCGCGGTGGCTCAAGCCTGTAATCCCAGCACTTTGGGAGGCCGAGATGGGCGGATCACGAGGTCAGGAGATCGAGACCATCCTGGCTAACACGGTGAAACCCCATCTCTACTAAAAATACAAAAAAATAAGCCGGGCGAGGTGGCAGGCACCTGTAGTCCCAGCTGCTCGGGAGGCTGAGGCAGGAGAATTGCACGAACCCGGGAGGTGGAGCTTGCAGTGAACGGAGATCTGGCCACTGCACTCCAGCCTGGGCGACAGAGCGAGACTCCGTCTCAAAAAAAAAAAAAAAATTTCAGACCTCATGTTCTATTCAGATGTCCTGTCTTGCCTTCGTAATATGAAACAGCTTTTCAGTCTTTCTTTGATGTTTTTAGAGAATATAGGCCCGTTATTTTGTAGAATGTGCTGTAAGCTGCTCTAAGTTTTTAAAAAATCTCAATAAGATGCTTTTCAAAGTTTCATATTATACTGGTAATTTAATCCTATAAGCAAAAATTACCTCCTTTCTCTTTCCCTGTCTCCCTCTCTCTCTGTTTCTTCCTGTAGTTCTTCTCCCTGACTTTATGAGAGTGCCCTGAGTTTATGTTGGGGAGCACTGAGGTTGTACAGAATCAGCGGGAGTTTACAATGTGGAGAGATTGGATTGGTTCTGCCTGCAGCTGTCACAGGGGACTTCATAAGGGAGGGGACATTTGGGGTGGGGCTTTGAAGGCTGTCTAGGAGCTCACTGTCCTAGGACACCATTACCTGTTTGCATCTGTTGCAGCCTTTCCTGCTTTTGGGTATCTGCCCCTGGCCAGACAAGGCACCCCTTGAGGGCAGGATCTGTTTTTTTTTGTTTTTTGTTTTTTTCCAGACGGTGTCTTGCTCTGTTGCCCAGTCTAGAGTGCAGTGGTGTGATCTCCGCTCACTGCAACCTCTTCCTCCCGTGTTCAAGTGATTCTCCTGCCACAACCTCCCGAACAGCTGAGGTTACAGGCTCATGCCACCATGCCTGACTAATTTTTGTATTTTTGTAGAGACGGGGTTTCACCATGTTGGCTAGGCTGGTCTTGAACCCCTGACCTCAAGTGATCTGCCCGCCTCAGCCTCCCAAAGTGCTGGGATTACAGGCATGAGCCACCGCGTCCGGACTTTTTGTTGTTGTTGTTTTTAAATCTCTGTCTCCACCCCTGGGCAGAGAGTAGTGCTCCGAGACTGTCAAATCAAGGAATGGAAATGTGTCTTAGTGTGAAATGCCAACTTCGCAAATATATTATTTTAAATAAAGCACTTCTTTTTTTCCAGGTTGGAAAGTGCGATTTTTCTCAATGAGGAAGAAAAGTCATTCTTCAGCGAGGGCCGCTTTTCTGAGGAGGATGCCAGGCAGCTGCTGAGGCGGATGTCGGGCACTGATGTCTGCAGCGTGTACAGCCTGGGTGCGTGTGGGCGATGCCTGTGGCAGGGCTGCTGCCCTCCCCTTTCCCTTCCGCAGCCCCTGCTGCCTTGTCCACCCACAGATAGTGAGTACCAGCCCCTGGGCGCTGAAAGGTGAACAGACAGAGGCTGCTGCCGCCTCCAGGACACACAGGGGCTGCAGAGAAGCCAGACAGGAGAGAGGATGGGTGAGGGGCTGGGGGCGTGGGAACGCGGCCCTGAGTCTCCCGTGGGCACCAGGGAAACCCTTCCTACCCTGACCCCAGGCACCTGAGACGCTGGGCGAGGGAGAGGGTGTGGACCTGGTTCTAATTTGCCAGCCCTGAAGGCTCCTGTTCGGGGCCCAGCCCTTTGCCCACTGCGCTTTGCCCAGGTGAGGGCGACTTTTCTCCTCGTCACAAGACAAAGAACCCAGGCTGTGGTGTGGCCTGGTCACCTGGCTGCCAGGGAATGTCATGGTGGGATCCCAGGGCTGCCGCCTTCTAAGGACAGAGATAGTCTCTCTGACCTCAGTGCCCCTCTGTGTGTGAAAGGTTTCTCTGGGGGCTGCAGAGCAATGCATAGATGAAGGTGGTATGTCATCCACAACATAAAGAAACATGGCAGAGGTCGTGCTGTTTGCTGGGTGTAGATAAACACAGATGTACCTACACACCCACTTTTTTTTTTTTGAGACAGAGTCCTGCTCTGTTGCCCAGGCCGGAGTGCAGTGGCATGATCTTGGCTCACTGCAACCTCCGCCTTCTGGGTTAAGCGATTCTCATGTCTCAGCCTCCCAAGTAGCTGGAACTACAGGCACGCGCCACCACACCCTGGATTAGTTTTGTATTTTTTTGTAGGGACGGGGTTTGGCCATGTTGGCCAGGCTGGCATTACAGGGTGTAGGTGGTGTGGGTGGGGACGTTACAGGGTGTAGGTGTTCTGGGGTGGGGGCATTGGAGGGTGCTCCCCAGAACTGCACACCTGTTATCCCAGTTCACAGCACTTGACACAGTCCACACCTTTTACAGCTATTTCTCATTTGACTTCCATGGAAACCCAGTAAGCAGTTAGTGTCAGCCACTTTACTGGGGTGGAAACTGAGACCCAGGAGCTGCCTGCCCTGGGATGAAGGGGTTGGGGGTGCACGGTGGATCGGCATTCATCCCTGGACTGTTGGACTCAGAGTTGCTGACTGTTCCATGCGCCCTGCTCCCTGATGGAGCTGATGGAAGCTGAGAGCGTGCTCCCACTGATGATGGGAGGATGTCCCCAGAAGATGGGAGAGTGGAGTCCCCACAGGGGTTGGGTGGGGTGGAGGCCTAGAGATGCTGGAACACGGGAATTCTCTGGCCCGTTGGCTGTGCCTCTCCCTCAGGTGTCAGGAGTACTCCTATGCTGGTGTGCACCTGTACCCCTGCAACACCCCAGCCAGCAACCCCTGCACCCTGCAATGCTCTCACCCTGCAACACCGACAGCAGCTCAACCTGACATGGGACCAGAGGTGCTGGCTGGAGTGTTCATTGCTTCTCTTTTTTCCCTTGCCAGACTCAGTAGAGGAAGCTGAGACTGAGCAGCCACAGGAACAAGGTGGGTTTTGTCCATGGCTCAGGCTTCCTCTGGTTATGAGCTGGGCCTTGGGGTAACGCCGGGGGAGGTGACAGAGCTGAGTACGGTGGGCATTGGATGGGGCTGTCACCCCTCTGTGGTGCGGGCTGGGGGCTTGGGGGACGTCGCCTGAGGTGGGCCTGAACCTCCCGTCTACTCTGGCACTGGAGGCCGTGGGGTCCCACACTTCTTCCAATGAACATGCTAGCCCCCGCCTGGTCCCCGACTGAGGTGGGACATCCTTTCCACTGCTGGGGCCCACATGTAGCTGTGGGTTCCTTTCTCATGACCTGGAGAAGCTACAGCTCGCCCTGTGCTCTGCCTCAGAGATGGGAGGCCACACAGCCCTCAGCGGGTGGCAGAATTCAGAGTCTTAGGTTGCAGGGGCCTCAACTGAGGTCCCTGAAGGGTCTGCTCCTTCCTGAGGGGCTGATTCAGGGAGGCCTTCGCATCTCCCCTCTATGGCTCTGTCTCTTCCCCTCACACAGGGTCTGCATGTGGACAGCCTGGTGATGTGGACGCCCCAAGGGCCCTTGGAAGTTCCCTGGGAATGGGATCCATCCCAGTACATTTGGGATGCAGGCACAAGGTCCCAGAGGAGGCCCGGGAAGCCAGTGGGGAAGGGAAGGCTGTTGTAGGTTTGCCTCGGGGAGGGGGTGGTTCTACCCTCTGCCAAAGTCCCTGGAGCAAAGGCACGTGGCTCTCCAGCTGCCCCGGAGGCCAGGGTAGTGGCTGGGAGGTGCTGTGTGCCTCTGCTGGGTGGGGGAGATTTCTGAGCTAATCTAGTGTAGTCAAGTCAAACATTTGCCTCTAAATCATATTTATTTATTTTTTTAATTCCAAGGCTTTACAGACGAATAAGGAGACAGTTTGTATTGAAAATATTTTTTGCATGTGAGCTTGAAACAGAGAGTCTGTTTAAATCTAGGTTTTTTCCTTCCCAGTAAAGCCTCCTTTCATCCCAGGTTTTCCAACAGGAAATGCGCTTGTTTGCTCACCTCTGGGAGGGGGCTTTGGCTAGGAATCCACCAAAGCCAGCAGGCACCAGTGGGCTGCTGGAGCAGTCTGGCCTTTGTTAACCCATTAGGAACTGTGGGCTTCAGGTTTTCAGACCATCCAAGGTGAAGGTGGCCACAGGGGCCTGGAAGCTTTCCCATCGTTCCTGCAGGGATGGTCCGTTTCCCTGCACGGAGCTGGGTACATGGGTACAACACCCCTGTCCTGTGCCGTCGGTGCCTTTACCAATTTTGCATGGCAGCTTTTGAGCTGATCAATAGCTCTGATTGGCTGTTGAGGATTTCATGGATTCCTGTACCCCACCGGGGGGCCCAATATGCTGACAGAAGTTACATTTGTAGTTGTAGTGCTGCATTTACATGGGTCCAGTTAGAAGGCTTTGATTCTTTCTAAAGGGAAAGGCATCTCTGAGGGATCACTGAGCTGACATAGTCTCCTAAAACCACGCTGTCAGTGGGCGACAAAGCAGGACAGGAGGGTGATTTCATAGGAGAGTCGAGCCACGGGCCTGCGTGTTCTCTCTGTCCCCATAGTGCCGGAGTTCCTCCGTGCTCCAGGCCCCGGGTTTGCATTGCACATAATTCTCAAGGGCTCATGGCAAGCTGCGCCAGGGACACAGAGGGCCGGGATGCGGGGACCCTGCCCCCAGTGGACCAAGGACTCACTGCTGGACTCTAATCTGTCTAGGTGTTTTTGTGACTTGCAGAAATACCTCCACCTTGCCTGGGCCTGGAGCCACAGGAGACTCTGCAGAAGGTGAAGAATGTTCTGGAACAATGCAAGACCTGCCCAGGCTGCCCCCAGGAGCCAGCGTCCTGGGGTCTCTGTGCGGCATCCAGCAACGTGAGCTTGCAGGACCCCGAGGAGCCCTCCTTCTGCTTGGAAGCTGAGGACGACTGGGAGGACCCAGAGGCCCTGAGCTCACTGCTGCTGTTCCTGAACGCCCCCGGGTACAAGGCCAGCTTCCGTGGCCTGTACGACGTGGCGCTGCCATGGCTGAGCAGCGTGTTCTGCAGCTTTAGTGACGAGGAGGAGCTGACTGGGCGCCTGGCACAGGCCCGAGGGGCGGCCAAGAAAGCTGGCCTCCTCATGGCCCTGGCCAGGCTCTGCTTCCTCCTGGGGCGGCTGTGCAGCAGGAGGCTCAAGCTGTCCCAGGCCCGGGTATACTTTGAGGAAGCACTGGGGGCCCTGGAGGGCAGCTTCGGGGACCTGTTCCTGGTGGTGGCTGTGTACGCCAACCTGGCCAGCATTTACCGGAAGCAGAAGAACAGGGAGAAGTGTACACAGGTGGTTCCCAAAGCCATGGCCCTACTCCTGGGGACACCCAGCCACATCTGCAGCACCGAGGCGGAGGGGGAGCTCCTGCAGCTGGCGCTGCGGCGGGCGGTGGGTGGCCAGAGCCTGCAGGCCGAGGCCCGGGCCTGCTTCCTGCTGGCCAGGCACCACGTGCACCTCAAGCAGCCCGAGGAGGCCCTGCCCTTCCTAGAGCGGCTACTGCTTTTGCACAGGGACTCGGGAGCCCCAGAGGCTGCGTGGCTCTCAGACTGCTACCTACTCCTGGCTGACATCTATAGCCGCAAGTGCCTGCCCCACCTGGTGCTGAGCTGTGTCAAGGTGGCCTCATTGAGGACACAGGACTCGCTGGCCAGCTCGCTGGGAAGCGTAAACCTGGTGCTCCAGAACGCCCTCCAGCCCCATGGCCTCCCCACCCAGACTTCCCACTACCTCAGGCGAGCGCTGGCCTCCCTAACCCCGGGCACAGGCCAGGCGCTGCGCGGCCTTCTCCACGCCAGCCTGGCCCAGCTGTACAGCCACCATGGCTACCACGGCCCGGCCATCACCTTCATGACGCAGGCGGTGGAAGCCAGTGCTGTTGCCGGAGTCCGTGCCATTGTGGACCGCCTGGTGGCCCTGGCCTGGCTGCACGTGCTTCACGGGCAGAGCCCGGTGGCCCTGGACATCCTGCAGTCTGTCCAGGATGCAGTGGTGGCCAGCGAGGACCAGGAGGGTGTGATTGCCAACATGGTGGCCGTGGCTCTGAAGAGGACGGGCCGGACGAGGCAGGCAGCCGAGGGCTACTACCACGCCCTACGGGTGGCTCGGGACCTGGGCCAGCGGAGGAACCAGGCAGTGGTGCTGGCCAACTTCGGGGCCCTGTGCCTGCACGCGGGTGCCAGCAGGCTGGCCCAGCACTACCTCCTGGAGGCCGTGCGGCTGTTCTCGAGGCTGCCCTGTCGGGAGTGTGGCCGGGACTTCACCCACGTGCTCCTGCAGCTGGGCCACCTCTGCACCCGCCAGGGCCCGGCCCAGCAGGGCAAGGGCTACTATGAGTGGGCCCTTCTGGTCGCCGTGGAGATGGGCCACGTGGAGAGTGAGTGCCCTGGTTCCTCCTGTGCGCCTTCTGGGGCCACTCGGGTCAGGGCACACCTGGGGTTTGTGATTCAGAAACAAGTGGTGGTTTTTCCACCATCGAAAATGCTGAGTCGTGGCCAACAGCAGATGTTGGCAAGCGCCCTGGAGACAGGTGGTTCCCACACAGGGCCAGGTCCTCTGTGCCCTACTGGGGCAGCCAGCTCTTCCCGGTTTGCCCAGGGACCATCCTGCCTTGAGCACTGAAAGTCCTGCAAGCTGGGAATCCCTAGACATAACCCTGGGATCAAGGCAGGCTCTGCTGAGCTGGGACTTGGGGCCCCTGCACGAGCCAGGCCCTGAACGCCGGTTCTTGTGCCCGTGTTATCTGCTTGGTATCTCGGCAGCCTGCGCACCTGTCATCCCACTTCACAGAGGACACAGGGGCGGGCGATGGCCCAAAGCCGCAGAGCAGTTCATGCAAAAGCAGCTCGTTGGGCAGAGTGTGCCAGGCCCCACCCACAAATGGGGCTTGTGGGGTCCTCGGGTGGCAGGGGCTGAGCGTGGGAATGTGAGCTTCAGGCCAGAGAAGCCACAAAAGGGTGAGTGGTGTGATGGCGGGGCAGCACTTGGCCCCGGGTTAGGGAAGCCTCTTTAGTCTGGGACCAGAGGGTTGAGAGAATTTAGTCAAGTAATAGGTGGTGGGGGAGGGGCTGGTGGTGGGGGAGGGGCTGGTGGTGTAGCCTGTGTGAAGGCCCAGGGGTGAGCGAGTGGGGGTGAGTGAGCGGGGATGAGTGGGGTGTGAGTGGTGGTGAGTGGTAGTGAGTGAGTGGGGGTGTGATGGGGGTGAGTGAGCGGGAGTGTGAGCAGGGATGAGTGGGGTGTGAGTGGTGGTGAGTGGGGGTGAGTGAGTGGAGGTGTGATGGGGGTGAGTGAGTGGGAGTGTGAGCAGGGATGAGTGGGGTGTGAGTGGTGGTGAGTGAGTGGGGGTGTGATGGGGGTGAGTGAGCGGGAGTGTGAGCGGGGATGAGTGGGGTGTGAGTGGTGGTGAGTGAGTGGGGGTGTGATGGGGGTGAGTGAGCAGGAGTGTGAGCGGGGATGAGTGGGGTGAGTGGTGGTGAGTGAGTGGGGGTGAGTGGGGTGTGAGTTGGGGTGAGTGAGCAGGGCTTATGCAGGGAGGTGCAGAGTTGGGAGTGGGTGGGTTGGGTGCTGGATGGTGAGAAGCTCTTCTGGAGAGCTACGCAGGGCCTGGGGCCTCAGGCTGTGGCTTGGCCTTTTCCCCAAGAGCACTGGGGAGCCATGGAGTGCTATAGAACAGTCACTGCAGACTGAGCAGTGAACGGACAGTAGGTGGGCAGGGCTGTCCGAAATCTAGGCCACAGAGGATAGATGAGGAAGTTGAGTCCAGGGAAATGGCTGAGACAAGGGATACTGTTGTGGGTCCCCTCTGCCTTGCAGCGCTTTGTCCATCCTCCCAGGATGGACGTCATGGCATAGTGAGACCACTCAGAGGTGCCTCCTGTGGCCTGGACCAGAGCCCCAGGGGCTGTGGCCAAATCTGCCCATTTCCCAGCACAGGCCTGGCACCACTTCTGGCCCTAGGAGGGATGAGATTTTGGAAAGGACCGTGTGAAGGGGCCCCAGTCCCACACATCTGCCCAAGGAGGGTTGGGGGGGTTCAGACCCAGGGTTCTTCCCCAGGGGCATTCTGACTGGAAGGAGACCCTCCAGGAACCCAGCGCCCCAGCCCCCACTGCAACCTCCGGTGGCTCCTGGCACAATAGCTTGTGGCACCTCCTCCTACGAGGCCCTCCCCGGGGTGCTGGGGGATTCAGACTTGGAAATGCAGGCCAGGGAACGGGGATCATGCTTCCCTGTCTCCCCACCCTGCGCTGAACGGTCGAGGAGACCGAGGGCGGGGCTGTTACCCCACATGCTTTCTTGGGGTCATTTTTGAGTCACTTTCGGTAGTTTGTGTCTTTCTAGGAGTTTGGCTATTGTATCTAGACGGTCTGATTTGTTGGTGTACAATTGTTTGTAGTGTTTTCATGGAGTCCTTTTATTTCTGTTAGGTTGGCAATAATGTTTCCTCTTTCATTTCCGATTTTAGAAACTTGAGTTTTTAATTTTTTATTTATTTATTTTTATTAGAGATGGGGTCTTATCATATTCCCCCAGGCTGGTCTTGAATGCTGGCCTCAGCGATCCTTCCACCTCAGCCTCACAAAGCGCTGGGATGACAGGCGTGAGCCATGGTGCTGTCTCTGATTTTAGTCATTTGTGTCCCGTCTTTTCTTGGTCAGTCTGGTGAAAGATTTGTCAATTTTGTTATTATTTTCAAAAACCCCACTTTTGGTTCTGCTGATTATCTCTTTTGTTTTTCCATTCTCTGTATTTTTACTTCCCATTTCCACTCTCATGTTTATTATTTTCTTCCTTTTGTTCGCTTTGGGTTTCGTTCGTTCTTTTTCTAGTTTCTCAAGGTGGAAGGTTAGGTTTTTGATTTGAGATTTTTCTTCTTTCTTTGAATGTAGACATTTACAGTTACAAATTTCCCTTTCAGCACTGCCTTAGCTGCATCTTGGAATTTTTGATACGCTGTGCTTTTTTTTTTTTTTTTAAGACAAAGTTTTGCTCTATTGCCCAGTCTGGGGTGCAGTGGTGCAATCTTGGCTCACTGCAACTTCTACCCAGGTTCAAGCCATTCTCATGCCTCAGCCTCCTGAGTAGCTGGGATTACAGACGTGCATCACCACGCCCAGCTAATTTTTGTATTTTTTATAGAGACGGGGTTTCACCATGTTTCCCAGGCTGGTCTCAAACTCCTGGACTCAAGCGATCCTCCCGCCTCGGCCTCCCACAGTGCTGGGATGACAGGCGTGAGCCACCACGCTGGCCCGGGCTGTGCATTTGTTTGCATTCTTCTCAAATTAGTTTTCAGTTTCCCTGATGGTCTCTTCTTTGACCCACTGGTTGTTTAGGAGTGTGTAATTTCCACATATTTTTGAATTTCCCACATTTGCTTCACTGTTGATTTCTAGTTTCGTGCCAGTACAGCCGAAGAACACCTCTGCTTTGGTCTCAGTCCTTCTCCATTCACTGAGGCTCATTTTGTGGCCTGGCACGTGGTCTGTCGTGGGGAATGTCCCATCGGCGCTCGAGAGGACTGTGTATTCAGCTGTTGTTGGGTGACGTGTGTGACAGATGTCCATTTGGCGTACCTGGTTTCCGGTGTTAATCTCCAGAATGTTTCTGACACTACAAAATCAGAAGCTTTCCACCGTTCCCAGCCCCTGGCTTGGGGAGAGGCCAGTGAGCCTGTGGGTTTGGAGCCTGGTTGCGTGAGAGAAGCATGTGTGGGAACGCCAGGGGCCGGCTTTGAACCCCATTCCCCCAACATGATGCCGTGTATGGCAGACATGACGCTTGGCTTTGCTCTCTCAGGGTTCCATCTGCGACAGGGGCTACTTGTGCCCCTGGCCTCATCAGCTCGGGCTGAAGGCGGCCCTGGTCCTGGCCAGAGGGGCTTTGTGGAACAGAAATAGATGGCCTGGTACAGGGGCCGAGCCTGGCCAGGACCTCGGCCCTGGGGGTTGTAAAGAAGGCCGGCCTCTACCATGAGCATCTGCACCAAGCTGTACCCATGTCACGGTGTGCTCGGCAGCTGCCCTTGCATGGACGCATGGCCTATCTGTGCTCAGGCTCCCCGCCTATGGGGCCCAGGCTCACAGAGGTGTGAAAGAGGCAAGCATGGCGCAGGGGCCTCCGAGCCCAGCCAGCCTCGCTTCAATGCTGGGAGGCTGACGTCTTCCTTCTTGTCTTCTGCCCAGGCCAGCTGCGGGCCGTGCAGCGGCTGTGCTACTTCTACAGCGCCGTCATGCCCAGCGAGGCCCAGTGCGTCATCTACCACGAGCTCCAGCTCTCCCTGGCCCGCAAGGTGGCCGACAAGGTGCTGGAGGGGCAGCTCCTGGAGACCATCAGTCAGCTCTACCTGTCCCTGGGCACCGAGCGGTGAGGGCTGGCTTTGCAGTGGTGGGGGCGGGGAGGGGGGCAGAGGGGGTGGGGGGGGCAGGGCAGGGAGGGGGGCACAGGGAAGCTGGCCCAGGGCCTCAGCAGCCCCTCTCCTTGGGATCATTTGGTTCCTTGGCATCAGATGCTTTGAGCTGGTGGGCCTGGGGTCGTCCCAGGGCTGCTGATGGCCCGTGAGTCCCAGCCTGAGCCTCCCTTGTTGGGTGACACGTCTTCCCATCCCTGCCTGCATACCTCCCCAAAGGTCATCTCAACCCCAGCAGAGGCAGTACATGCATTCTGGGCTGTTCTTCCTACTATGGTGGCTTTTGTCATCTGACCTCTGCCTGCCCCGAGTCTTCACTCCTGGCCTTCATCTGTCCCCTTAAATGTGACCACAGCAGCCACCTGTGGCTTCTCTCCCACAGAAGACAGAGCCAGTTGTGTCACCTGCTTCCCTGGGGCAGGGTTTCAAGGTCTCACATCCCATATGTGGCCCACTCGGCTTCCCTAGAGCATCCTGACCTGGTGGGGTAACCATGGCCCTGGCCACCCCACCCACAGGGCCCAGTGACATTGCTGCAGTCACACCCCCTCGAGTGTCGGACTTACTGAGAGAGCAGGGAAGGAGCCAGATTCCATGGGGACCCGGGAGACTGGCTCCAGTCTTGGCCTCAGGTTCACAGAAGGAAAATGGGCCAGTGTGCTAGAGCCATGCTTCTCAAAGTGTAGTCCCTGGACCAGCAGAGCAGCATCCATGTCACCTAGGAGCCTGTGGCAAGTGGCAGTTCTAGGGCCTGCCCCAGGCCTGTGGAGCCGGAAGCTCTGGGGGCAGGGCCAGCAAGCTATACGGACAGGCCTCCGGGTGACTGTGATGCCTGCACACCTGGAGAACCATCGGCCTAGATAGCCTCTGAACACTAACGGCTCCTGGTGCGTCTGGAGAAGACACAGGCCATGTCTGGGAGGCAGGGGAGATGGACGAGCACACTCCTCCTGCCACAGGGCAGCATGATGCTCGATTCCCTCAGAAGGATGTCCTTCATCTTTTCCATGCCGTGTGTGTTCACCCTGGCCCTCCCAGCAGCCTGGGAAGAGCAGAACACTGCACACACAAGAGGGCCGTTCCCAGTCCCCACATTCCAGATTCGTCTGTCACCAGACCCTCGGGAGGAGGCAGACTGGTTCCAGGAGGATGAGAGCCCTTGTTCTGACACCTCTGTCTGATTCCAGGGCCTACAAATCCGCTCTGGACTACACCAAACGAAGTCTGGGGATTTTCATTGACCTCCAGAAGAAAGAGAAGGAGGCTCATGCCTGGCTGCAAGCAGGGAAGATCTATTACATCCTGCGGCAGAGCGAGCTGGTGGACCTGTACATCCAGGTGAGTGGCAAGGGATGCAGGAGGGCCCTGTGCTGTTCACTCTCTGTCCATCCATCCATCCATCATCCATCCATCTGTCCATGCATCCATCTGCCCATTCATCCATCTATTCACTCGTCTATCCATCCATTCAACTGTCCATCCACCCATCCATTCATCCTTCCATCATCTATCTGTTTACCTGTTCATCCTTCCATCCATCCATCCATCATCCATCCATCCATCCATCATCCATCCATTCATCCATTCATTCTTCCATCATCTGCCCATTCACCTGTGGGTCCTTTCATCCATCTCTCCATCACCCATCCGTCCATCCATCCATCCTTCCATCGTCCATCCACTCACCTGTTCGTCTTTCCATCCATCCATCCATCATCCTTCCATACATCATCCATCCCTCCATCCATCCATCCATCTATCATCCATCCATCCTTTTATCATCCATCCATCATCCATCCATCTATCAATCCATCCATCCTTTATCATCCATCCATTCGCCTGTCCATCCATCCGCTCACCTGTTCGTCCATCCATTCACCTGTTCGGTCCTGTCCATCCATCCTTCCATCTATCTTTCCATCACTCATCCAACTGTTCATCCTTCTATCCATCCATCCATCATCCATCCATCCATCCATCCGTCCGTCCATCCATCATTCGTCTATTCATCTGTTCGTCCATCCATTCATCTGTTCGGCCCATCCATCCACCTGTTCTTCCATCCATCAATCCATCCTTCCATTCATCTTTCCATTATCCATCCATTCAACTGTTCATCCTTTATCCATCCAGCCATCTTCCATCAATCCATCATCCATCTATTCACCTGTCCATTCATCCATCCATTCGCCCATCATCCATCCTTTTATCATCCATCCATTCACCCGTCCATCCATCCATTCACCTGTTCATCCCTCCATCCATTCTTCCATCCATCCTTCCATCATCCATCCATTCACCTGTTCATTCTTCCATCCTTCCATCATCCATCCATCATCCATCCATCCTTCCATCATCCATCCACCGCTGCTCATCCTTCCATCCATCCATCCATCATCCATCCATCCTTCTATCATCCATCCATTCACCTGTTCCTCCTTCCATTCATCCATCCATCCATCCATCCATTCATCCATCCATCATTCATCCATTCTTATTCATCCATTCACCCACCATCCATCCACCTGTTCGTCTGTCCATCCATCCATCCATCCTTCCATCATCTATCCATTCACCTCCTCTGTTCATCCTTCCATCCATCCATCATTCATCCATCTATCCACTCATTCTTCCATCCATCCATCCTTCCATCATCCATCCATTCACCTGTTCATCCTTCCATCCATCCATCATTCATCCATCCATTCATTTATCCATTCATTCACATATCCATCCATCCATCATCCATCCATCCTTCCATCATCCATCCACTCACCTTCCATCCTTCCATCTTTCCATCATTCATCCATCCATCCATTTATCCATCCATCCATCCTTCCATCATCCATCCATCCATCCATCATCCATCCATTCATCTGTTTATCCTTCCATCCATCCATCATTCATCCATTCATCCATTTATCCATCCATCCATCCATTCATCCATCCATCTGTCCATTCATCCATCCATCATTCATCCATCCTTTATCCATCCATTCACCTGTTCATTCATCCATTCACCTGTTCGGCCCATCCATCCGTCCATTGATCCTTCCATCTTCCATCCATTCACCCGTTCATCCTTCCATCCATCCATCATCCATCCATCAATTTACCATTCATCCATCCATCCATCATCCGTCCATCCTTCCATCTTCCATCCATTCACCTGTTCATCCTTCCATCCATCCATCATTCATCCATCCATCCATTTATCCATTCATCCATATATCCATCCATCCATCATCCATCCATCCTTCCGCTATCCATTCACTCACCTCCTGTTCATATCCTTCCATCCACTCATCATTCATCCATCTATTCATTTATCCATTCATCCATCCATCCATCCTTCCATCATCCATCCATCCTTCCATCATCCATCCATTCATCTGTTCATCCTTCCATCCATCCGTCATCCTTCCCCATCCATCCATCATCCATCCATCTGTCCATTCATCCTTCCATCACTCATCCATCCTTTTATCATCCATCCATTCACTCATCTATCAATCCATTCACCTGTTCGTCTACATTCATCCGCTCCATTCATCCTTCCATGATCCATCCATTCACCTGTTCATCCTTCCATCCATCCATCCATTTATCCATCCATCCATCCTTCCATCATCCATCCATCCACCTGGTCATCCTTCCATCCATCCATCATCCATTCATCCATCCATCCATCATCCATCCATCCTTCCATCCATCCTTCCATCCTCCATCCTTCCGTCATCCATCCTTTCACCCATCCATCCATTCACCTGTTCGTCCATCCATCCTTCATCCATCCACCCACCAATCTACCTATTAATCCATCCCTCCATTCATCTATCTGTCCGTTTGTTTATCCATACATTTGTCTATCCACCCATCTATCCATCCATACGTACATACATCATCTACCCTCCACCCATCCATACATTATCTACCCACCCATACATACATACATACACACATCATTCCATCCACCCATCTATCCATCCATCCATCCATCCATCCATCCATCCATCCATCCATTCATCTGTACAACCATCTGTCTGTCCGTCCGTCCGTCCATTCATCCATCCATTCATCTATCTATCCATCCATCCATCCATCCATCCATCCATCCAAGCATCCATCTATCCACACACCCATCCATCCATCCATGTGTCTATACTTCTGCTCATCCATTCATCCATCCATCCACTCATTCCTAAGCCACTGCCGAGCACCTGTTGTATGCCTTTTCCCTCCCTCCAACTGGTTCCCTCATATCCTCCCCCATTGGCCAGCATCTTCTCCCTGAGGGCAGAGGCGTGGCCCCTCACAGTGCCCAGCACCTGCTGGTATACAGCACATGCTCAAATAATGTGGCCACTCAGTTAACACACAGAAGAACTTGCTCCAAGTGACACATGACACATCTCCTTACAAAATGAATCTATCATAGCAGCTGTTTTCAGAGGCTTTCCCAAACACAGTGTGATCTGGAACAAATTGTGAAGCCCACGAGCCTGGAGAAGCTTTCATTATTGAGCACCTGCTGTATACCTCCTTGAGCTGAGGAGAGGGATCAAGAGCTCATGGCCAAGAGGGGACCAGGCCCACCCACAAACACTGTTGATGTGCGCCCCTGAGCTGTGGCAGGGATGTGACAACTCAGACGGGAGCCAGGGGATGGGCTCCCAGCAATCTGGGGGCCACGGAGACTGGTTTGAGTGCAGGGGGAGTGGGCTAGGGCTAGCCCTGGTGGTAGGATTCACAGGTGTCGGGCTTCTGGGCTGCAGCTGCTCAGTCACCTCCTAGCACTCAGGAGCATCAGTTCATTGTCCTCATGCCAGTGATGGGGGCAGCCCTAATGCACAGGGTCTGAAAAATGCTCAGGTGTACCTGCAGTGTGTGAGAGGAAGGAGGCTGGCGAAGGTGGGCGTGGCCACCTCGCCAGGTGTGGGTCTTGAGGGAACTTCTGCCTCCTTTCAGGTGGCACAGAATGTGGCCCTGTACACAGGCGACCCCAACCTGGGGCTGGAGTTGTTTGAGGCAGCTGGAGACATCTTCTTCAATGGGGCCTGGGAGCGGGAGAAAGCCGTGTCCTTCTACCGGGTGAGCTGGCCTGTGGGCTGATGTGGGTGGGCCTCGGGGGGGGGCACCTGGAGGGCTGAGGCACAGGTGTGGCAGGGCAGAGGCCTCCCACCTGGAGGCAGGGCCACCCATGCCCATGCTTAGTTTCCCAGTGGTCTCACTGGGAATGATATTGACTGTGCCCCCTGCCCGGGACAAACGCTCGGGGCCTGGACATGGCAATGGCTCTACCCTTGCCTAGTGGTCTCACCGGGAATGATATTGACCGTGCCCCCTGCCCGGGACAAACGCTCGGGGCCTGGACATGACAATGGCTCTACCCTTGTACCTGATGACCTCAAGCAACCATGAGTGGGAAGTCCTGTCCTCATCTTCCAGATGAGGAAACTGATGCTCAGAGAGGCACAGGGACATGTCAAAGGACACACAGCATGTCAGTGTGAGGCCCAGGGCCAGGGCCCAGGTCTGACTACACCCCAAAGCGGGGACGGCTTCTCCCTTTGAGCTCATGGTGTGGCTCAGCCCTGGGCACGGGTAAATGTGTTTTTAGAGCAGAGAGGAGTGCTGGCTCCCTGCAGTCAGACCCCCGGTGCCCAGGTGGGAGAGGCTGTTCTGAGGCTGCCAGGTGTAGCTGGATGGGCCTCAGGTGACTCTTCGGCCCCCAACTTGGGTGTCTGAACCGTGCGTTATCCCAGAGCACAGAGCTGTGCCGAGGTCCAGGGGTAGCTGGGGCGTGGGAAGCTCCAAGCACATGTTCGAGCTCTGAGGAGGGTACTGGGCAAGGTGGGTGCTGCGGGAAGCCTGACCCCACCTGCCTGTGTGGTAGGACCGGGCCCTGCCCCTGGCAGTGACTACGGGCAACCGCAAGGCGGAGCTGCGGCTGTGCAACAAGCTGGTGGCACTGCTGGCCACGCTGGAGGAGCCCCAGGAGGGCTTGGAGTTTGCCCACATGGCCCTAGCACTCAGCATCACTCTGGGTAAGTCCCCGGAGCTCCTGCCCTGCCAGGACCCACACTTTGCCAGAGCCCAGCCTCCAGGTCTGCAGGGCAGGAGCTGAAACAGCTGCGGGATTTTCCTGGTCTCCTGTCCAGGCAGGCAGATCTGCCCAGCTGGCTTCCCCGTCAGGCCATGGGGCACAGCCCGAGGTCTCTCACACAGTGCAGAGCTCCCTGCCTGGCTGAGCTCTGCTTCCTCTGCCTCTTCCCGCTGCTGACCACAAGGGCCGCCCAGTGTGCCCTCTGCCTTCCAGACATGCCAGGCATCTCGTTGGTCCCTGTATGTGCCAGGTTGAGTGGCACACTCCCTTTCTCTTGTGCTCTTCCCACCCTCATCAACCACATGGCTCTCTGGCTGATGAAATCCCAGTTCCCCTTCCAGCAGCCTGCCCCTTAAGGCCGGGCATCCCCTGGTGCTGTGCCAGGGTCGTCTGTCCTCCTCCAGAGACAGGGAGCCCTGGGCAGACCGCATGCCCCAGCGCCTTGTGTCCCGGGGCCCAGAACGCAGTAGGTGTGCAGCTGTGTGGGAATGCATCCAATGCAGGCTCCACGGCACTCGCCCTGGAAAGGGGAGGACATCGGAGACAGCCTGGGTGGGTTTGCGCATCTGTGGGGGGACCTGGAGCTCAGGCACGTGGTGACTCCCCAGTAGGGGGCTCTGATCATGACACACCCAGGAGGAGTCGGATGTCATGTCTGTGGGTTGCCTGGAGCCCGGGCGCCCGGGAGCACCTGGACTGCATGGCTTTTGGGCTCCCCTGGTTAAAATCAGTGAGCAAAGGCAGGTGTCTATGTGCAGGCACAAAGCTGGGCCGTCCAAGTCCGACTTTGCCAAAGCCTCACAGTAGACGGGGGCAGGTCTTATTAGTTCTGCTTTGCAGATGGGAAAGTGAGTCTGGGAACCCGGAAGGGACTGGTCAGAGCTTCCCAGGTGACCACAGGTGCCTGGAGGCAAGTCAGGTGCTGCCCGGGGTCTGCATACCTCCTCCTGAGGGGACTGTGCCCTGCCTGCCCCAGAGAGCCACGTCTTCACACCTGCCCTTTTGGCCTGCACCCCAGGGGACCGGCTGAACGAGCGCGTGGCCTACCACCGGCTGGCCGCCCTGCACCACCGGCTGGGCCACAGCGAGCTGGCGGAGCACTTCTACCTCAAGGCCCTGTCGCTCTGCAACTCGCCGCTGGAGTTCGACGAGGAGACCCTCTACTACGTGAAGGTGTACCTGGTGCTCGGTGACATCATCTTCTACGACCTGAAGGTGGGTGGGGAGGGGCAGGGCTCGGGGTGTTCCCGGCCCCCTTGGAGTGGGATCTCCACCCAGACCCCAGAGGCCTGGGTTCCAGCCTTCCTTAGGAATGGCCCAGTGGCCTCCCTGGAGCTCTGCACCCGGCTGGAGGAGCCGGCAAGGTTAGCAGATACAACCCAGCTCCCAAGCTAGCCAGGCCCCACCCTCAAGAACTCAGTCTCAGCCAGGGAGGCTGACACATGAGCGGGCAATGGTGGCCTCTGGGTAAAGAAGGAAGATTGTAGTCACGGGGGCCCTCCTGGAGGAGGTGACACCAAAGCTGAGTCTTGACAGTCAAGTGTCAAGTTGCATTTAACAAAGAAAACAGGGTCGGGAGAAGGACATTTCTGAGAACGCCATCATCCTCACATTGAATCCACGTTGCAAGATCCAACCCAAATCCCGGCGCCTCCTCTAGGAAGCCTGCCCAGGGTGCCAGCCCGCACTGAGCAACTCCTTCCTGGAGTCCCGAGACACCTTGAATCTTCACATCACCCAGGAAGGGTGGGGTGGGGCCGGTGTCTTACCATCTGCTTCACAGACGGAAACCCCAGCTCAGGGCAGGTGCAGTGGGGCCGGGCCCCAGCCAGCCAGGCTGAGGCCTTGCTGGGTCGGGTCTGTCTCGAGGGAAGGTGCTGGGACCTGTGCTCCCTCTGCCCCCAGCCCTGCAGGGGTGGAGAGCTGGGACTGGCAGACTCGGACCTGGGGTGTCTCCACCCCTCTGCCCAGCAGGCACCGCCCCTCCTAGCATCGCACCGGCACCGCGTCAGGGCTCCTTATGGGCTGAGGGGCCAGGGCGCTCCAGTCCAGGGACCGAGATCTTGGGGGCCTTAGAACAACATGAGGAGCTGGGGCTGCCCTAAGACCCTGCCCCGTATCCCCCACCGCAGGCCTGGGGCTGCCCGGGAGGCCCCCACCCAGTGCTGGCGACACCTGGTGGTCAGAAGCGGTCCCTGTGGCCACCCAACTCCCAGCCAGACAGGGAGGTGCCAGGTGTCAGGCCCAGAGGGACGCTGCTCACCGCTCAGGGGCTCGCCTGGGACCCAGGGGACGGGCCTCCCAGAAGAGGCCTTTATCTCTCTTGGTCAAGCCTGCCGCCCACTCCGCCTGTCCAGGAGGAAGGAAAGGGCCAAGTAGTACCTGAGAGGCCAAAGTCCACGGTTGGGGTCGAGGGGCAGAGGCCTCCTTCACCGGCTTCCCATGCACAGCCCTCTGGGCCTCATCGTGACTATGCTGTCAGCACAGGCCAGCTTCCCACAGGGAGGCCCCCTCGGAATTCCCCAAGGGCCGCTGTCTTTCCAAGGCCACGCCCTCCTCCTTGTATAGGAGGCTCTGGACCCAGGGCCCAGAGGAGTGGGAGAGAAAGCTGGGCTGCATGGGGCCTGGAAGGCTGGCAGAGAGGCAGGGGTAAATGGGCATCTTTGCCAATTGTCTCTAAAATGGGGTCCCCTTTAGTCTACATGTGAGAGTGAGCCCTGGAATAGGGTGGATTAGGTGTGTCCTGGCTCAGCCTGCCACTCACTAGCTGCTGCACACACTACAGGCGCATGGAAATGCACACGCAAATGCGCACACAGGCACAGGCACATGCACACTCAGGCACACACACACAGGTGTGCACACACAGGCACACACAGACGCACACGCACACTCAGTCACACAAACACAGAGGCACAGGCATACCCACACAGGCACAGTCACACGCACACACAGCCACACACACAGGCACAGGCACACAAACACCCAGAGGCACACACACAGGCGCGCACACAGACCCACACGCACACAGGCGCACACACACAGGCACACACACACACACAGGCACAGGCACACAAACACACAGGCACACACACACAGGGACATGCACACACAGGCACGCACACACAGGCACAGGCAGAGGCACACACACAGGCATACATACAGACCCACGTGCACACAGGCACACACACACAGGCACACACACACATGGGCATACACACAGACACACACACAGGCACACACACAGGCGCACACACAGACCCACGCGCACACGGGCACACACACACGGACACGCACACACAGGCACCACACACAGACACACATGCACAGGCACACACACACACGCACACGTGGAGACATATGCTTTGGCTGGCTCCTTCCTGTTGGGATGCCCCCACCCCTTCAGGAAGCCCTTGCCTGCCACCCCCGGCTGAGTCTGGGGCCTCCTGGGCCCCCCATAGGCTCCTGGGCTTCCCTCTGCCACAGCCCGGGCCACCCTGTGTGGTCAGTGTTCGCTCCCAGGTCCCTCAGACTGGGAGCCAGGACGTTAGGCTCAGCCATGCACCCGGCACAGAGTCCAGTGTTCGGCTGGGCTGGGGGGCATTGGATGAGCAGTGGCGGTGACTCGGGGCCTTCTCACATCCCTGCTCCGTGTGTGGGATGGGGCAGTGAGGGAATGGACTGCTGCATCTTGGCCTTTGTCCTTGGCCCTGGGAGCCATCTTGAGATGGTAAAGGGGGACAGGCCAGGCATAGGTCTTAGAGAGGTCCCTTGGGTGACCCCCATGTGGAGGAGGCGCCTGGGGAGAAGCTGGGTGGGGGATGGGAGGGTCAAGGAGGAGGTCTGGGAGGCGGCATCCCAACCCAGGGATGGTGAGTTTGAGCCAAAGATGCATTGAAAATGGGAGTGGATGTCTGGGGAGTCACACTCCGTCAATATTTCAGGGAACATTGCCAGAGATGACACTCGTGAGATGGTTTTGTACCTGGCCTGGCCCGTGGAGGGCCTGGAAGTGGTCAGCATGGACAGGGGCCAGAGGAGAGCTTGGGTCACTCAACGCTGTGCCCCTGCTGTGGCTTGGAGCCACAGGCCCTGCATGGAACTCTCAGAGCAGGCAGGATCTGCCCTGACCTCAGCCCATGGGGAAAGCAGCCACTGCCTGCAGAGAGGGTGGGACTGGGGCAGGAGGCTTGGGGTGAGTGGGGCGTAGGGACAGTCAGGAAGGCTTCCAGGGGTGTCAGGGTCATCCCCACCTCCTGCAGCTGAGACCACAGTAGTGTCACAGGCTTCGGGGCTCATGGGGTGAGCCAGCATTGGCTGGACATGTGGAATGACCTGGAGACAGGAACGGCCTCTGGGAAGATGGGCTCCGAGTCCCCCTTTTGCTGAGCATGGCCTGTCCCCTTCAGGACCCATTCGATGCAGCTGGGTACTACCAGCTGGCACTGGCAGCCGCCGTGGACCTGGGCAACAAGAAGGCACAGCTGAAGATCTACACGCGGCTGGCCACCATCTACCACAACTTCCTCCTGGACCGCGAGAAGTCGCTCTTCTTCTACCAGAAGGCCAGGACCTTCGCCACAGAGCTCAACATCCGCAGGGTCAACCTGCCTCCTCTGCCACTCTGCGGGTGGGCCCCCTGGTTGGCCCCCAGCCACCCTCGCTGAGGACATCATCTGAGGGAGTGGGTTTTGTGCAAGGAGGATGGTCTCTTGCCTCTCCTGGTGTCTCCTGTGGCTCATTTTCTGGGAAATGGAGGCATGAAAGCAGGGTTCAAATAGCAATAAATGTGTTTTTTTTTTTTTCAATAACATACCGAAGTCCCCAGGGCATCCTTCCCTGTGTGCTTCCGGGGTGTGTCTAGGGGCCAGCTGCTTCCCTGGTGGCAGCCCTCTGATATTGGGGATGAGAAGGACCCTGAGTCCAACAGACCTGGGCCAGGTCACCATGAGCCTCGGTTTCCTTGGCGGCCAGAGGGGAGATGGTGGTGGAACTCCCTGGACCGCTCCCTGCTCAGAGCTTTTGCTGTAGGTCTCGTGCCGCTCTTGCCTTTAATCTTCAGGCCACTGTGCCCGGATATGGGGGCTGCTAGTGCCCCGGTTCGCCATTGAAGAAATAGAGGCACAGAGAGGTTAGGTGTCTGGCCCACCATCACACAGCAGGTAGGGGCGGAGACACAGAGCCCAGTACACTGACCACCACACCACCCTGCCAGCCTGCTGCCAGGAAGGTGTCCCCATTAGGACCCAAGGTCAGCTCCTGGACCTCTCTTGTGGTGTGAGGAGAGCCACAGGCCGGTGAGGATGGCCCCGGGGATCCCTCACTCAGTGTCCTCTGCTCCCAGACTTGGCTGGGCCGAGCCTGGCCAGTCCCACCTCTGGCCACTGGTCAGCCCTGCGGGAAGTGAGATGCAGGGATCTACACAGACCGCCTGTGTCGACGCTGCTGCCCAGTGTTGAAAGTCTTATCGGGGCTGCCCCCCAGCCGTCCCCACATACCCCTCCCCTTCCGGCCCCGGCCCTCTTCCCAGTCCCAGGAATCCCAGGTTTTCCTTCTTGGAATCTCTGGGCCCCAGGGAACACGGCTCACACGGTCTCTTTCCCAGTTTACGGCAAGGAAACCGAGGTTCAGAGACTGTGGGTGTCCCACGTGATTCTCACATACACTGCACTCTCCCAGGCCCCTCTTTTAAACACTTTAAGTGAGGTGACATTCACATCGCATGCAATTACCTATTTCAACGCGAATCGTGTGGTGGCATTTGTGCATTCACAGTCCTGTGCAACCACTCAGGCCATCTAGTTTCAAAATGTATTCATCTCCCCAGAAGAAACCTCCCATCCTCACTAAGCAGTTACCCCTCCTTGGTATCCCCCCAGCCCCTCGTTTAATGGAAGGGGAAACTGAGGCCCGGAGAGAGACTTGCCAGTGGGCGGAGCTCTGATAATAAGGAATGAGGCACCCATCTGCTGCTTCAGTCCTGGGTTGGTTTTCCACCCAGCAGAGGTGACAGAGCCGGGAGGTTCTGGGAGCGCCACAGGGGAGCCCCACGCTTGCAGCCAGAGCCCTGCCCCGAGCCTCCCCACCAGGGGGCAGCAGAGAGCTCTCCAGAACCGGCCGCGAGGCTGGCGGGAAGCAGCGGGTCAGAGCTGCTGACAAACCTCAGGTGGACCCCAGATCTCTGTCTCTGTGGGTCGGGCTTGGGAATTGGAGAGGAGGCCACATGATTGGAAACGTGAAGACGGCACGGCCTGGCCGGAGCAGCGGGAAGCGCCGTCACGTTTACTGAGAACACAGACCTCCTGCCCGCTGGGCCGGGCCTGCAGCCATTCTTTTCGGGGTGGGGGCCGCAGGTCCGGATTGCTCTCGGCCCCCGACCTGCCTCAGAGTCCGGGGGGCTTTGGAACTGTGCCTCCCCATCTCCACCCACCCTGGCTGGTGCCATGAGGGGCCTGGATCCTGGGATCCTGTTCCTCTTGGGCAGCAGAGACGGGAACCAGAGGAGATGATGGGTCTTCAAGCCCCACATTCAAACCCCAGCCCACCACGCACAGTCTGGGGGTTCGGGGTGAGGGAGTCGATTTCTCTGAGCCCCAGTTTGGTCACCACTAAAATGAGGCCGACATACTGGGGCAGAGTGCCAGCCCCAGGGCTAACAGAGGCCTGTTTCCTCCTGACAATACTTCTTACTCCTAGGAACAGCTCCAACAACCACACACTAGGGAACACTCAACCCAGGCCAACTTGTCAGAGGCACGTGAACCAGAGCGACTCCATCTTGAATGGGGGCTGGGTAAAGGGAGGCTGAGACCTGCTGGGCCGCGTTCCCAGGGTGCTAGGCATTCTTCGTCACAGGATGAGATAGGAGGTCGGCACAAGACATGGGTCATAAAGACCTTGCCGCTAAAGCAGGTTGCAGTAAAGAAGCCGGCCAAAGCCCCAAACCCAAGATGGCCATGAGAGTGAACTCTGATTGTACCCACGGCTCATTATGTGTTAATTATAATGTATTAGCTGCTAAAAGACACTCCCACCAGCGCCATGACAGTTTACAGATGCCATGGCAACATCTGGAGGTTCCCTACATGGTCTCAGAAGGGAGGACAGAAACTCTCAGTTCTGGGAATTGCCCACCCCTTTCCTGGAACCCTCATGAATACTCCAACCCTTGTTTAGCATATGATCAAGAAATAACCATGAAAATGGGCAACCAGCAGCCTTTGGGGCCACTCTGCCTATGGAGCAGCCATTCTTTTTTTTTTTTTTGAGATGGAGGCTCACTCTGTTGGAAGAACTGGAATGCAGTGGCGTGATCTTGGCTCACTACAACCTCTGCCTCCTGGGTTCAAGCGATTGTCCTGCCTCAGCCTTCCTAGTAGCTGGGATTACTGGCACCTGCCACCACGCCCAGCTAATTTTTTGTATTTTAGTGGAGACAGGGTTTCCCATGTTGGACCAGGCTGGTCTCGAACTTCTCACCTCAGGTATTCCACCTGCCTCGGCATCCCAAAGTTATGGGATTACAGGAGTGAGCCACTGTGCCCAGCCAGAGTAGCCATTCTTATATTCCTTTTCTTTCCTAATAAACTTGCTTTCACTTTATGGACTCGCCCCGAATTCTTCCTTCTGTGAGATCCAAGAAACCTCTCTTGGGGTCTGGATCGGGACCCCTTCCCAGTAACAAACTTGCTTAACCTCTCAGACCCTTCGTCTCTTCATCTGTAACCAAAGACAAAGCCTCCCCTGAGGTTGCAACAGTGAGGAGAGAACGCATGGGAAAGGAGGGGCACGGATTTGGTGTGCAGAACCAGGCAGCCAGTCCCTTTGTTTTGTGGTGGGTGGAGGTCAGGGCTTGGCTGGCTGAGGCCTAAGCCCACTGGTCTGCAGCCCTGCTCTGCCAGTCGGAGGCTGGTTCCCAGGCAACAACCACTGCAACAACAACCCTTCAGCAGAGTGGGCATGAGATGAAGAGATGTCCAGTGGGCACATGCCCAGCCCTATGCAGCCAATGGGCTCACAGCCCAGAAGCAGCTGCCCCGATTTTAGAGGGAGGCGGCCATGACCCCTGGGTTGACTCAGTCACCTTCCCACACAGGTTGAACAAGCACCCACTGCACGGGCTCTGGAAACTGCCTCGGGCAGGCACAGGGAACTCCAGGAGTGCTCCAGGCCCTTCCAGAGGGGCTCCTGCCACTGGAGCTGAAATCACACTCCTTTTGGGGTCCCTGGAGACTCTCCCCTGAACACAGAAGGAAAGAGCCTTGCCCAGGGTCACACAGCTCCCTCTCCTGACTCAGAGGCAAGGGGGCTCTGCCCAGCACAGCCGCTTCCACTCTCCTGGAGCCCACGTCCTTCCCTGCACTTCCCTGTTCATCCAGGGGTAAATATCGGCCGAGTCCAGGTTGGACCCTCATTTGGGTGAGGGAGCTGAGGCTTAGAGAGGGGTGGTCACCATCCCAAGGGTATGGAATGATCAGCAACCCAAGGGAACTGGCTGCACCTTGCTGTTCCCTTCAATAGAGAGATCACCATCTCTACTCAAGAGAACAGCAGGCCCAGCCAGGTCTAGCAAGGATTGGGCAGCACACAGGCCACCATCCCAAGGGTGCCCAGCAAGTCCGCATCATCCTCACCTTTGCCATGGAGCCCAGGAGTTGAGAGGAGGTGGTTTATGGCCCAGTGTGAGGCCAAACTCTCTCCTGAGCAGGGTTCTCCGGAGATGGGAGAGGCCAGCTCAGGCAGAAGAGAGCTCCCCGTCTGCAGAGGGGTTCAAGCAGGCCACGAGGGTCTCCCATGTGAGTGGAGAAGTGTGTCCGGGTAACACTGTTTGGGCATAAAGGTGCCGTTGGACTCCAGTTGGCACCATCAGTGATCCAGGCTGTGTTTCCAGGGAGCTTGGCCGCAGTCAACTCACATGTCCTGTGTCCAGCGCCTGGCCTGGGGAGCAGGGTGTGGGTCCCAGGCTGGGCAGCTGGGGAGACCCGTGCACTGGCAGCAGGGTGGCATCTACGCAAGCTCAGGGACAGGAAGCAGGCTTGAGTCCAGGCTCTGCCTCTCTCTGACTCGGCCTGACCCAGAGCACCCCACAGTGGGCTCCCCTTCGTATGCCTTGCCCCACTGTGAACCTCAGTTTTCTCACCTATAAAATGGGGCAACGGGATGTACCTTGCTGAGCTATTAGGAAGATCAACAGCATGGTAAGAAACATTTAGCACATTTTCCAGGGCTTGTCAGGTCCTCCAGGGTTGATAGAAAAACACAGGGAAAAGAAAAATATGCCTTCCCCCAGACGGAAGTGTGGGCAGGTGGAATTCTAAACTGTCCCCGTGTGCCTCCTTCCCCTTCAGCACAGTGAGTCTGGGCTGTGATAGGATTTCACTTCCGCAAGTAGGTTGCAGTAGGTGGGAAGGGTGACGGGGTTTGCAGATGTAATTAAGGTCTCTAATCAGTTGACGTGGAGTTATTCAAAGGAAGATTATTGCAGACAGGCTTGGCCTCATCAAGCGAGTCCTGTGTAAGAGGGTTCAGCCTTCCCCAGTTCTCCTACTGGCCTGGAGGCAAACAGCTTCCACGCTGCACAGCACGGTGAACAGTGGGTTCCCCACGGAGCGGCCAGCCCACCAGGGGCTGCAGGCTCTCTAGGAGCTCAGCGGCCCCCAGCCGGCAGCCCTCAAGCACCCGGGACTCCAGATCTACAACAGCACGGAGCTGAATTCTGCCAACAACCATGTGAATTTGGAAGGATGTTGAATCGTGGGGGAGATCACAGCCCAGTAGGCACCTTGATTACAGTTTGTGGCGACTCTGGGCAGA